TTTTTCAAAAAGTTCATTATTATTACTAATTCACTAATTTTGATTTCTTGGACAATAATAGTTATTAATAGTATATATTACCTAAAGCTGTATCATTTAAAACAACTCAGAGTTATTAGTTACCTAAACAGACTTCATTAATAATAAAAAATGTCTGAGAAGAGTTCAGACATTTTGTTCTTTCTCAATAAAAATATTAAAATAAAAATATAATAATAATAATAATATTATTATTATTATTATTATTAATATGCGGCTCAAAATTCCCATGGGCACGCAATATAATTTTTTTAGAAGATTATTGCCAACTTGGGAACCAACCTGTCCTCCTACAAACAACGTCGTTTTTCGATCGTATGCGTTACATAAGGCCAAAAATTATCGTTTTAGAAAATGGAAGCAGCATGCGAAAGTGACGTACTGTCCCGTTTTCTGTTTTGGGTCCTCTGGCTTACTCTGGTATGTTAGGAGAGAACACTTTAAACTAACCGTTTTCCTGACGTTGCGAAACCTTAGGAGGACGGGCTGTGGGCGCCACGCTCTCGAAAATGTTCATCGCCCCTGCACTAGACCATACTCATTTAATCTAATTAATGACATACATATAATTACAAGACATTTCCTCATATCAGGTAATAATAACCAGAGAGGTGTCAAAACTGACAATTGCAGTGATTTATTAGCAGAACCCAAGTCTTATGAATTTCTACAAAGAAAACAGTCAATTGACGTAAGCCACATTGGCCACGATCGAGTGGACTCTTGTAGGTCAATTAAGTCACGCTCTGAGGGTTGAAATATTATATTGCATCTTCTAATGTTGGGTAACAGATGATGGCTTCTGCTTCTGTTGGTGCTGCTGCTGGTGGCGATGCTGCTGATGTTGTTCATGCTGCTGCTGCTGCTGCTGCTGCTGTCAACACCCTCCTGCCGGGTCAATGCTGGTTCACCATCCTATCTGATGGAGCCCAGACGGAAGCCGCCGCCGTCGTAGCCAGCAGTCTGAGAGAGACTGTAGCCAAAGCAGGTGTCACGGTGAGATGTGTGGGGACAGATGTCGGGCTGGGGTGCGGTGTCTCATGACTGGATGCCAGGCTACAACATAATAACACAGGAAATGAGGGAAAAAAACATCATTTCTCCCAAGTGAATAATTATATACTTGGAGAACATGAATTATTATAGCTTGAAAAACACCATGTATTTAGTACGTTCAGAAAAAAAAAATGTTTTTTGTACGTTCGTTACACCTGATGTACCTGCTCACCTAGGAACAAATACGAACCAGGGAGTTAGGTAACTGTTGTGGGCTGCATACTGGAGAAGGTCAGTCGTTGGCTAAGGATGCCCTCGATAAGGGATCCTGTCCCCGACAACGGAAAACCCAAACATGCTTAGTCAGCAAGGCGGACAGCCCGCCAAATGCCATAACTCATACTATAGTTCCCATTTCTAAACGTTTCCCTTCACAAGTTCCTCTCCTTCTTTACTCTCTACCCCCTAAACAAATGCTTAGTGATTTAGGGGCACATTATGCTCTCTGGCGCTGGAGTTCGATATGTTTCTAATCATTGATTCGATGTTTTAATTATGAGTAAGGTGATTTTGTGTTGTGAGCCTCTAAGCATAGACTCTACGACATCGATAAGAGAGGGATTTAAAGATAAGTGTTATCAGGGCATAGCGAAGTCAGCGAGGAATTTTAGAGACAATACGTACAGCATCACGAAATCACAGTGTAATAATATATCTATGACAAATTTTTTAGGAGCCACAATAACTTACAGACCAACCAGCAAGATTACTTTAGCTCTGAACATAGCCTAGTTCTACAGTAAACTTTTAGTCTGTGTACTGTACACCAATAAGCGGGGTACACCAGAATTTACTGTCGTCAATGCCACTCCTAGAGGAGGGAGAAACAGAGAGATTGGTGTATATAAAAGAAAGAATGTTGACCAATCCTTTGATCAATTGACAGTTATCTTTCAATTAATATATATTTTTTTAAATCATGGATTTGTCAAGTAACTCAAGCATCGTTTTAGCGGGACAATCTTAGATTTTCTCTTAAACAAAAAATTGCTTCAAACTCCTCCTCCTGGCAGCCAGCCATATATAGTCGGTTGTGTACTCAATAACTAAGCGGCAATATGATATCTTCTCTTCAGGTCCTTGGTTATTCGTTATAAACATCTCTGTCAGCCAATCATATGGCCGGACTTGTACCCAGTAACATACAGGCAATTTCAAATTTGTTCAAGAGATTTTTAATTTGCTTCAACAATATGGCAATCACTCATATTGCCAGACACGAAGTCCAAAATAAAGCCAAGTATATGAAGTTTTACCTCGTAAAACCTGTCCCAGTTTGAGTTAGGCTGTCCATCAAAGACATCCAGCCACAATATTCAAGAATATTGTGAATATTCGCAATATTCCTGAATAAAGAGTGTTCAGGGATATTCTAGAATACTCACAATGTTCAAGAGTAACGTTAATTCAATGCTGAAGTAACGTTATTCTTGTATATTGTGGTCACTGGGACCCGGCCAAGTGACCTCCAGTTAGGTAAATGCTATGAAGAACGATAATCATTTTAACGTTATTCCTTTTCTCAGATATACACACTGAAGGAGGAGGTGCTGTTGAGGGAGGAGACCTGGAGATCATCTCCCTGTGATGTTTATATCTTCATGCTGATGGAGGGAGACGCGTTCATCCGCCATGCTAATGTCAGCCATTATCACGTGTCCACCGCCAACCATCAATCCCCCCACGCCCTCTGGAACTACCACGCCTACTACATAATTCTTCTCGTCCACTCTGGAAACGCCACTCTCAAGCCCTCAGACGTAGCAAAACTTTATAACTTGAGGAAAACGGAGAAATTACTGATCTTACAGCAACGAGAGAATCATCTGGTGGCCTGGACCCACCAGCTTTATTCCCCCTCGACCAATCTAACATTTCTTGACATCTGGAGCGGCGGAAAATTCCGGAGAGGCGGGAATCTCTTCCCTGAGAAGCTGGTTGACATGGAAGGAGCTGTGTTACGTGTTGCCACGTTTTATCATCCTCCGAGCGCTATCTATGCCCGAGACGATCACCAGAATATTGTCAGCACGGCAGGAATTGATATTCGAGTTGTGGAAACACTTGCAAAGGCTAGAAACTTTTCTGTTGAATATATTGATATCAGCCTCGAAGAAATGTGGGGGTTTGAGCTACCTAACGGCACATGGGTCGGCCTGGTCGGAAGAGTCTATTATGAGTTGGCAGACATTGGTTCCTGCAATCTGTACTTAGAGAGGCACTATTCGAAAAAAGTTGATTACTCAACTCCTTATAACTTCGACCGCGGCTGCTTCGTGGCTCCTTCCCCCAAGCCACTGTCCGGCTGGAAGTCTCCTGTGATGCCATTCACCTGGGACACGTGGAGCTCTGTGGTCGTGGCTCTGGGAGTGGGCGGTGGCCTCCTGTATCTTGTGGCCACTCTCAGCCACAGTCCAGAGTCAGCAGAGTTCCGAAGTCTTTCTTATGATTACCTTTACATCCTGGGCGCCTTAACAATGCACTCACTCAGAATTGTACCATCGAAGGCACCGATGCGATTGTACATTGGGTTTGTGTGGCTCTTTTGTCTCATCGTCGCTACGGCTTACTCTGCCAATTTGGTGGCTTTTTTATCCTTTACTCCAATGACAACACCAATCAACACATTGATCCAGGTATCAAGAAGTGGCCTGAGTATTGGCAGCTACGCCTTCTGGAAGGCCCAGTTTGCTGAATCCACTGATCCAGTTGTCCATGGGTTTGCTAACGTTTTAAGAACTGACTTGAACTATTATTATCTCTTTAACTTGGTCGAAGATGGGAAATTTGCCCTCATCGATAGCGTTAACTATATAAACTTTGAGATTAGAACACGCTTCACGTATGGCAGTCATGCATCTATCCGGGTGGTGCCGGAGTGCCTCAAGCCCTACAGCATCGGTCTGGCCTTACAGAAAAATTCCCCGTTAAAGTCTCACTTCGACAGACTTATCTTGCAGATTTTGGAGTCAGGGGTAAATTATAAGTGGCAGGAGGAAGCGGTGGCCTACATCAGAGCCCAGTACACCAGCAAGCGGCACCATGCACAAGAGGAATCACACAACAAACCTCTCAACATGGTACAATTCCAGGGAGTGTTCTACATGTATGTTGTCTTGTGTCTGCTTTCGGCAATAATTCTGGCAATGGAAATTGCTGTTGCCTCACGAGGATGCTGAAACACACATCCTCAACATGCATCAGCTCCTACGATGAACCACCCAATAAGTAAAATAATATAATCTATTACATGATATTAATGTATGAGAACTACGGATATTGTACTTTTAACTTTTGTTATTCTTCACCAAAGTTTAAAAATTTTATTAAACTTTAAATTAGAATGAATGATAGAATAATGTACCAGTTGAACCTTATATGTTGTTGCATAGAAAAAAAATTGTATCAACATGTTAGGTAAAATTTAATGTAATTTTCCTTGCTCTAAAAGCTATATTATAGCCGCTTCAAATAAAAATATTTTCCGAGCATCAAAGCTGAGTGGTTATCTTCTTGAAGTTATCTTGAGATGATTTCGGGGCTTTAGTGTCCCCGCGGCCCGGTCCTCGACCAGGCCTCCACCCCCCAGGAAACAGCCCGTGACAGTTGATTCCTGTCATCTGCTACCATACTAAAATATTAAATCTCTCTCTCTCCTTGTTACATTTAAGGTAGATATATATATATATATATATATATATATATATATATATATATATATATATATATATATATATATATATATATATATATATATATACTGTATTGGTAGAAGTCGTTCTTGTAGACATACGTTATTAAAGTTGGTAGAACGGCTACGATCAATGATTTTCACACAAGTCTTCTCTATATTTCTAATGTTTTTCTTCACTTGAGAAGGAAGTTGAAAAATTAATTCTCCAAAGTTTATTTTACAGTTTTATTAAGGCCTGATGCTAAGAGAAGTGTTATGTTGTCCTTGTCAACAAGTATATATAGATAGATATGTATATAATATATATCACAGCATGTATCATATGGAAGGCAAAACTACATTTCACACCCTTCAGTTCAAATCCAAAACACCTCCATATATACTAGTTTTCAAAAATTATGTCACACAGAACAATATAAAAGATGATTAACATACCCAGCACATAAATTCTTGAGGAAGTATAACTCCTGTTAAAGAAGTATGAACTACTTGTTACAAAAGTACGAAACTCTACTTGTTACAGCAGTATAAAATTTGACTTGTTACAAAAAGTATGAAACTTTACATGTTACACAAAGTGTGAAACAAGTTATTACCGAAATTAATAGACTCTACTTATAGAAGAATGAAGCTCTATTTGTTATGTAGTGTAAACAACTCTACTTGTTATAGAAAATAGAAAACTATTTTTTGCAGACGTTGTAACTTACAACACCCAGAGAACGTACCTCCATGATTCACCCACGGGACACTTCCTTGGAGGTCAGCCCAAGTGACCTCAGATCATCTTACAGTCCTTCTAGTGCTGAGTAATAGGTTAGGTGTGCAAAACACTTTTAATTTAAAATTCCTGGTTAGGCTAAATCAGCTGGGAACAAGATCACCCCAAACGTTCTCACAAGATTTGCAACCCCCCCCCCCCCTCTGAAGTGGGGCGTGGCAAGAGCGTGTATATATATGCCGTAGGGCAGTTAAGAGTAAAAAAAAAACAATACGGGCTATTCATGCCCGTGCCACCTCTTGGGTGGCTTAATCTTTATCAATCAATCAATCTAAGAGTCAAAAAGCGCTGGGGGCGGGACATCGGAGTGCACATCCCTGGTCATCACGCTGCACAGGGAGAGGCAGTGAAGTCTCCCGGGTCAGCGAGCAAAGATCCAGGCATAATATGTGTGGATCTTTGATTTTGGTCCATGTAGGATGCATGAACAAGTGCCAGTGTTAAGATAGGGACTTAGAGTTCGGTGAATATCATAATTGTGTCCTAATAAACTCGTGTTAAATTTTCCATCTGTGTGTGTCAATATCTGAGCCTCCCAATCCTCTGTATTCAGATTGTTAACAACCGGTCAGTAAGTAAGAACATCTAGAGTAGAACTCTCAAGCCAAGCAAGGCTTCCTGTCTCATTGCCTGACATAAATTAATTCTATGGCAGAATGGTGGCAGCGTTCAGTTAATAAGTTTTATCTCTGTGTAGCATTTTCATGGAAAGGTACCATATGTTCTGAGTGCAACCATCAGTGGTACACCACATGTCAGTTCGTATTACATTAAATCCAGTGTTACAATCGTTTAATGATCAAGTGTATAGTTTAACTAGTGTTACAAAGTATTACCAAGTGCAACCAATAGGAAGTGTTACTCGGATAGTTCAGTTTCATCAAGGGTTAGTATAATCTAGTGTTATAACGTAGGAAACTATTGTAGAAAGTAGGAAAGTACTTGTTATAGAAAGTAGGAAACTACTTGTTATAGAAAGTAGGAAACTACTTGTTGCAGAAAACAGGAAACTACCTGTTAGAAAGTAGGATATTACATTTCACATGTTGTTACAAAATGGATGAAATTCTACCTGTAACATAAATTATGAAACTCAAATTGTAACAGAAAGCAAGAAACTTTACTTGTCACAAAAAGTATAAAATTCTGCTTGTTACAGAAGTGTGAAATTCTGTATTTAACAGAAACTATGAAATTCAACTTGTTCAAGAAATTTATAGCACTCTATTTGTTACAAAAAGTATGAAACTCTATTAGTTACAAAAATGCGCGAACAGGCTACAGATGCTCCACGAGGCTACAAATGTTATCTAATTAACTCACATTAGACAATTAAAAGTATATATATAACAGTTTTCATTGGAATACTTATAATCCTGACAATTTATGTGGCTATATGTGGGAATAACAGCGAATGATTTACAGTAATAGATGCATGTAGTAGAATACTGCATTCTATGTAGTAGAATATGTGGGAATTAACTGGCACTTCTAAACAGGAATAATGTTGTATCAGCACCTTGCGACGTCACTGGTGGTTGCCCACAGAAACGGGAGAACTTCCTTCTGTTGTTCTAAAGTTCATCACACTGAACCGATCTTTCTAATATCACCATTTTACAAGTTGCCATTTAAAAGAGGTCTTTGATCTGGCATGGTCTCTATTAATTAACAGCTTACAGAGGCTTTTTATGACATCACTTTTGACAGCTTAAAGGTACCAGATGCTTTCGTTCTTGTGATATCACCGTTCACGGCTTACAGGTAACAGAGGCCTCGGTTCACCTGATGCCAGTTTATGACAGCTCAAAGGTGCCAGACGCCTTCGTTTTGGTGACATTACCGTTGACAACTTACCGGTAACAGATGCCTCTGTTCTGCTGATACCACGAATGACAGTTTAAAGGTAACAGAAGCCTTCGTTCTGGTGACACCATTGGGGTTGGATTCTCTCCGCCATGACGCCCCTCTTGACAAGCCGTTGTCGGTGGTGGATGAGTCGGGCTTCAGCGGCTTGCCAGGTGCTGTCGGGGTTGGTCCACAGCCGCTCCGCCAGAGCTGACCCGCGCGGCCACAGCTGAAGAATATCCACACACTTTAGGGGACAATACATAACAGCAATGGTTCATGTATAAATTACACACTTTATCAACCATAAACATCAATGTCAAATTATATCAACCATTTATGGATCATTGGTTTAAATATAACTTAGACTTCTGTGCATGTTTAGGCGGATACACGTCACATTATACACAAAACAGTTCGCTTACGATTTTTAAAGCCTATCTAACCTAACATTACCTAACACTTAAGGTAACCTAACCTGATCTACTCTAACCTAAACCATCTTAACACAGTCTAACCTAAGATAATAATAATTCATTGTGTCGGGGGGCAGGAAGCCAGAGTGTTTATTCATACACGTTAGGCTTTCATCATGCCCCCTCCCCAAGGTCGAATTACTGACCCCGCCCAGGATGCAACCCAACAACAAGCTGACTAACTCCTAAGTACCTACTCACTGCTGGGTGAACCGAAGCATTAGGTGAAAGGAAATGTACCCAACCATTTCTGTCCGGCCCGGTATTCGAACCCGGATTGTGCGCCGAGAACGAACCAAACTGTACTACCGGAACACTTAAGCTTGTATATCCTAACTTAATAATATATATTCGGTTTTAACAAACTGTAAACGAGCTATGTCGAATCGCCTTGTGTACGAGTTAACCCACAATATTCTTTATATTAAATCTATATTTTTTCCTGTCTAAGTTCACAGTGTAACACGTTCATTTACCTTAGAATCCACTGCAGTGTCGTCGGCTTGTTCAGTCCACAGAGCTGCCTCTCCTCCAAGTATGAGGTCTGGGTGTGAAGAACCGGTCTGGCTGATGGCTAAATCGTAAGGGCTGTTTTCGTATACCTTCTGCCAGCCCTTGTAGGGGCTGCACCAATTGTTACCATCGCCTACCCATGCCCCCATGCCACAGTCCAAGTACCACGCGTCGTAGTTGCTAAATATCACACGGAAATTCTTATTCAGAAGTTCTCCAATAACTGGGTCGTCCCCAGTGGACCAGATTTGAATGATATACTGAGAATTGTTGAGAAAGCGGTCGACGCGCCCCGCCTCCGTCAAGTGTGATGTCCATAGGATCCCAGGGACCTCCTTGCCACCGTTAGCGGAGGTCAGGAGCTGGCGTGACTTTTCTTGGAAGATTGCCCACTGCTGGTAGTAAGAGTCGCTTTCTAACCCAAAATTGTTGCTGTTCATCCAAGTTACTATTTCCTCCGTTGTGTTCCAGCAGTTGAGGTTCACCTGAAGCATAATTTCATTGTGAGAAATTTACATTTTAATTTGAAATAAACGAATCGTGCAGTAATGATTTTAAAACTACTGGAAAAAACAATTTTTGTCTAATGAGGCAAAATGCTTCTTCTTTAATCGAGTGATAAACACATGGAACAGCTAACCAGGATATAATACAGTGTGGCACAGTAAAAACATTTAAACTTTGATTAGACAAGCATTTACCAAGTCACCGACTCCCCATATCCATAACTGAATACTCTCTCCACAAACAAACATACTAGTTTGCATCTAATGGTCTGTTGCTATTTGGATTTCCTTGTAATCCTTTTTTTTAATCTTTTGAAAAGTGGATTCCTTTTTCCTCCATGACGACCAGTATCGCTCATTTTGAAACTTATTATAAGCTAATGTGTATTTACTAGAATCATTTCCCAACCTCATCGCCGCCGAAGTGGAAGAGATCGATGGGGCTGAAGAGCTGAACCATCTCGTCGTAGAGCTGGCCTAGGACCTTGTACATGTTGGGGTTGGCCAGGTTCAGCTGCCCGCATGGTGGCTCTACACAGAAAGACTGCCACGGCTCCTGATACAAAATTAAACACATTATTCAACATTTTAAATACAACATTATATGTAATAATTTTTTCACCTTAAAGGTAATTTTGTTTATAAGAAGGTTTGGTTTATGTTTGACATAACTGAATGAATATTTCTGGACTATTTGTTGATGTGAATTCATTGAAATAATGTTGTGAAAATGATTGGTTCTATATTCCCTAACAAGGAGATTTAACTAAAAAAAACTTTCATTATTCTACTTTCCTGCAACCAAGAAATGATTTTTCGATAGAAAATGAGCCAAATAGATTGGAAGAGTTAGCGTCTGAAACAGGAATCTGATCTTAAGGAGACAAAGGCATATAATTAGCATTTGAAAGGCTATAATCACCTTGTTGACGCAAACAGCCAGCTTTCCCAAATTTGCTTCCTTTTCTGCCCACTGCCACCCGTTGCCCACATGTGCTGGGGCATCGAACTCGGGAAGGACTCTCACGCCCCGCACCCGGCCGTATTCCACCAGGTAGCGAACATCCGCCGGATAGTACACCTCACGGGACGAGTAGGCGCCGTAGTAGGCCATGTTGGGTAAGGTCTCAAGGTACAGAGGGAAGGAATGGGTGTCAGTGATGTGCCAGTGGAAAGTGTTTAGCTTGTTGGCCGCCATGGTATCAAGAGTCCGTCGAATGGACTCCACACTTATGTAGTTACGGGAAGTGTCAAGAATAATTCCACGGTATTTGAAGACTGGTGCGTCGGTGATTGAAGCAGTGGTGACGATCATAAGAGAATCTCGGTTCTCCTGGAAGTCCACCAGCTGCGACAAGGTCTCGAGTGCGTGGCGGGCACCGAAGTACGTAGGTGCGACAATTGATGCCTTAGTGATATCTCCCGAAGTCTGTACTGACAAGTCGTAGGACTCGTCGGTGTCCAGAGTGACCCGTGTCTCTTCACCAGACACCACCACATCAATTTGGAGAGTGTGGGCCAGCGTGACCGGGTCCCAGGGACCATCCCAGGGAGCAGAACCATCGACATAATCCGGATGATACCGCTGTAAATTATCCTTGAAAATTCCGATCGCCGTCTCTAGCAAAGCGCAAACTTCCCCGGCGCAGGCGGTGGTGTGGGTGACGTTAGAAGGGAGGAATTCTACCACACTGCTTCCCAGGACAGCTGTGGTAGGCCGAGGCCAGAGGACGCCGTAGGCACCACAGGTCAGCTTACAAGTATTGAGGGTCACCAAACCCTCAAGACCTGAGTTATCTTCTTTAATACACTGCCCAGCATCGCACCTGTACCCCCAGGGCGATGGTAACCTGAATGGAAAAAACACAAACGCTATATATACGCAGAGAACAAGTCACAATAACGTTGGTGAAATAAATAACACAGCCCATTAGACCTTCAGTTCCCTTTATTATCTTAGATAAATTTTCATGCTTTGCTTCTTCACTTACCATTCACCACCTTTCACCTCACCTTCCCTCGTAACTCTCCGACTCCTCCTTGCCACGACTTAATCTAGGACGACTTTATAAGATTCCAAAACGTTTTTATAAAGGTTTAGGAAGACATCTTAAAAGGTCCAGGACACTTGATAAAGATCCAGGACGACTTTTTAAGATTCCAGAACGAACCGAAACGTTGTCACTATCATTTAATGTTTGACTTGGGTTTTGAACATGCATCTTTGATAGGACACAAACAAGCGATCTATGATGAGCCCTTCCGACAACCTGTGACCCCCACTCACTATTATATTGAGATATACTGACAAATATATCGAAATATTAACAATGATGTTAAGATATAATGACAATTACATTGAAATATTAAAGATTATATTGAGATGTAATGACAATTATATGCAAATATTAAAAAATATGTTGAAATATATCGAAAATTATACTGAAATGTTAAAATTATGATGAAACATATTGATAACTATTGATGGATCTAGGCTCTTGTGTGAGGTCCGTGCGGACGTTTGAGTCTCCCGTGTGTGATCTAAGTTTAGACGTAAGGTCATTGAAAGGTTAAAGGCTCATGTATAATGTTAATACAGGGGCAACGACTCCCATCTGAGACTATGTAGGGTTAGAAGTCCCATCTGGGACTTCTTAGGGCTGAGACTCTCATCTGGGACTTCTACGGTTAAGATTCCCATCTAAGACTACTTAGTGGTTAAGACTACCATCTGAGACTACTAAGGCTAAGACTCACGCGAAGAAGTCCGTAGCAGCAGAAAGAGCGAAGGAGAGACTCCCAACCAGAGCAACAGCCCAACACACCTCCAGCGCCTTCGTCATCGTCTTCTGCGGATAAGAAAACAAATAAGATTCCTAATTAGATCCTAAAGTCACTTTCCAAATTAGATTCCAAATTAGATCCTAAAGATTAGATCCTAAATTAGATCCTAAATTTACATCCTAAATTAGATCCCAAATTAGATCCTAAATTAGATCCGATTCCAAATTAGATCCTAAAGTCACTTTCTGCTTTAGAAAAAGAAAATCGATAATGTGCCAAAAAATTATTTTTTTAAATGCATATTATAGTTCCGTTCCTATAATCAGGAATAGGAAACCTGTTAGACTTATATCGAGATCCCTAAAGGTTAACTGCTGACCTTCCCCAGGATGCCACCCACAACAGTTTCCTAACTCCCACGAACCTTTTCACTGCTGGGTGAACAGCGGGATCAGGTGTAAGGTTCCCTTACGTCGGAATACTGACCTGTCCCATGATGCAACCCGACTGTCCTGATCACCACGCTACCCAGCTCGTGCTCTGCATTTGCCACTCCGTACAAAATGCGACTGTTGTGCCTGACCAGAAACAACCGAACCTTAGCAACCCACCTAACCCATAAAGATCTATACAGAGAAAACGTTAAGCTTCAAGCTGTTGCCTTTTGTGTGAGTTAAATTGTAGCTTGTTAAGCTCGAAGCTTTTGCCCCTTGTGTGAATTAAACTATAGCTTGTTAAGCTCGAAGCTTTTGCCCCTTGTGTGGGTTACATTATGACTTGTTAAGTTTGAAGCTTATGTGAATTACGTTGTGGCTTATTAAGCATGAGACTGTTGATCTATTGATGTGGAATAAATCAGCAATTCTGTACTAAGAAAGGTTGAAGTGCTTGACTTTTCCTGGTATGGGGGTGGAGCAGGTTGTGGGGGTGAGGGAAAGTTACGCGCCTCCCTTTGTATTCGTCTTACCGTTAAACTCTCCTTGTATTTCTTTTCCTACCACCATTTTGCACTTAAATTCATCTTCCCTTTCACAACCTTTGTATTCTATTAATCCTCACCCTTTGTATTACTCACCCGCTCTCCTTTTCCATCACTCTATTAAGGCTCCACTTCTACTTCCCTCTGCACTCCCCTCTTTTCACCTCTCTCCCTCTACCTCTTCCACCTACCCCTTTCATCCCTCTCCCTCTCCCCTTCCATTTATCTCCCTCTCACCCCTTCCATCCTTTTCTTCTTACATCCCCCTCCCCTCCCACCTTCCGTCCCTCTCCCACAGTCTTCCATGTCCCCTTAGCTCAGGAACGAGCATTGTTGCATATTTTATTGTTTTTTTAGTTTTGTTTTGTTTCCTTAGGAAGGGTTCCATTCTGGGGCAGACAACTCAATAATGGGTCTGACTGAGGATGTATACAGCTGTTGCCTTCCCTTCATCCTGTACTGTATTTGAGGTCTTCTTGGTCTAACTCCTGTCTTCATAACCTTGCATTTGTCAGGGTTAAAGTCTAGTAGCCATTTCTTAGACCAACTCTGGAGCTTGTTTAAGCCATCCTGTAGTGGTTTGCAGTAGTCCTCAGTTCTGATTCGTCTCATTAGCTTAGCATCGTCAGCAAACTTGGATAAGAATGAGCTTACTTCTTCTTCTAGCTCTATATATATTAGGAACAAGATGGGCCCTATAGTACCGACCCTTGAGGTAATCCTTGGATAAACTTGGATAAAAATAAACTTACTTCCTCTTCTAGCTCTTTTACATATATTAGGAACAAGATGGGCCCTATAGTACCTACTCTTGAGGTAATCCAGTCGTTCTAATAATAATTCTAATAATTCCTCTTATTATGACTGCCTTCTTCCTGATAGGTACCCTTTCGCCCTCTTTAGTACTTTCCCCGATACACCAACTGTGCTTGATGTGTGTGACTTCATTACGACGTCGCAATGCTCATGCCGGTACAGGTTATAGATCCTTGTGCGCTGTCTCCGCCCTCCCTCGTGTCGGGAGACGTGGCGCAGAGAGTGAAAGTGTAGGAGGCAGAGCAAGGTTACCTTCCCCCAGCGACGACGCCTTCTCCTCACCTCACACCTTCTCTGGGGAATATAAATCAGCTATCCCATGGCCGAGTAACGTTTAATCAACGTTACGTTCTCAACGTTGATTTTTGGCTACATTAGCATCCTCATTAGGCATAATATCCAAGAGTAACGTTGAATCAAAGCCAATTCAACGTTCATTTAACATTAATTCGTTTCAGTTTCATTCATCATCGAACCAACGTTACTCCTGGATATTGTGCCCACTGGGTTCTCTCTACCCCATACCCCATACCCCCTTTTCTCCGTCTCCTGCAACAGTCCAAAAAAATGAAGCTTTAGTAACTCAGGACAACATTAGATCAATGTTAGTTTAACATTACCCCTCAGCAACGTGTACCTGCTGGAGGTCTAATGCAGTGAGTAAAACGTCTTCCAGCAACGTCTAATCAACGCTCCTTCAACCCCAGTGGGCGCAGTACCCCAAGAGTGGCGTTGGTTCGACGTCGAATCAACGTTAATTCAACACTGAATCATCGTCACACTTGGATACTGTGTCCATTGGGGTAACATCATTGCAAAATATGCGGGAAGGAATGCGTCTAGTCATCATGTTAAATTCTTTCTAGTGGGCTCAGTGTCCAAGTGCAACGCCGATTCAACGTCATCAACGTTGAATTGCCGTTAATAACGTTGATTCCGTGTGGAACCAACGCTACGCCTGGATAATGTGGCCTCTGGGCCTTGAACTGGCACCATTTGTCCGCCCTCCTGGTCTATAATTCATTTTTCCATAGAATCAATGTTTAAACATTTAATAATGAATTATAGTGATGGAGGAGTCATGTGTGTAATCAGTAAAGCATACGGTGAATTATAGTGATGAAGAAGTCGTATGTGTATTCAGTAAGGCACACGATGGATTACAGTCATGGAGGGGTCATATGTGTAAAGCATACGGTGGATTAATAGTACAGAGTTGTCAGGTGGATGTGATTCAATAATGCATATGGCATAACAGTGAGAATAACAATAGGGAGGTGCATCATGGCGGTACCACCTTGTCCTCTCGCCTAATAACACATTTTAACGCAATCGACCAATTCGATAGAAAGTCCAATGTATTAGAACAACTTAAAGCACCGTAATAGCATCGATTAGTATAGCATCGGCTTTAATAGGTTAGGTGGGTTACTTGGGTTCGTAAGTTTCTGATTAGGCAAAACAGTTGCAGTTTTAATGCTTTTGGTTAAAAACAATGGTTACTTCTGTCGGAGTGAGAAATACAAAGGACGTGCTGGGAAATTGGCTGCTTTTTATGCTTACTTTTGAATAAAGTAAAGGTTGAGTATGTTGACCAAACCACACACTAGAAAGCTTAGATTTCTTCGACGTTTCGGTCCGTCCTGGACCATTCTCAAGTCGATTGTGATGAGGGAAGGAGACGAAGGTAATAAATAGGCATGAGAGAGGTGAGTACAAGGAAATCTTTGAGGAATCTTAGATTTCCTCAAAGATTTCCTTCTACTCACCTCTCTCATGCCTATTTATTGCCTCAACACAATCGACTTGAGAATGGTCCAGAAAGGACCGAAACGTCGTCGTCCCTTCACTTTCTAGTGTGTGGTTTGGTCTACATATTTCAGCCACGTTATTGTGACTCCTCGTCTGCATAAAGGTTGAGTAATTCCCAAGTGCATTGATAAATGGCGTATCAAAATTAGTTTTGATTTCACGTCGTGTAGTGAGGCGTTACTACACAGGGGTGTGGCAACGGTGGTCCCTCCGGTCATTGCTTCCTGTCTCTCATACACAACACACAATTGCTTGGACTCTACTCATGGCAAAGACGTGAGAAGAAAGACAAAACAACCAGAGAAGACATATATATGAAGGAACAGGAAGAGAGAGCACGCAAATATGAAGAAAATGTATGATAAAATATAAACAAGGTCATCAAGAAAATATAGGAACAAAGAGGGAGAAAAACAAGAGTAGGATGAATATGGTCCAGGACAGTCTTCCACCAATATTCAGTATAAAAAAGACGTGTCATCTAAAACTATAACAATCAACAAGAATTGCACCATTATACGCCACTATTTAGTTATAGATTATGAGACAAAATCCACCGGGAATTAGAGACTTTGTGATAACCTGCCAATGTGTAAACACCAACATTTATTATAAAATTTCCTGTGCAGTTGTCGTTCAGTTCTTGGACCCGTTATTGATGTATATTTTAAACTGTGTAACTAACTCATCAAGATTGTAACCTTTACCACTACCACCCTTGGGTTGGAAACCATGCAACCCAACCACTTGGGTTGGACGGTAGAGTGACGGTCTCGCGTCATGTAGGTTGGCGTTCAATCCTCGAGCGTCCAAGTGATTGGCCACCATTCCTTTCCCTCGTCCCATCCCAAATCCTGATCCCTTCCAAGTGCTATATAGTCGCAATGGCTTAGCGCTTTCTCCTGTTAATCCCCCCACGGGTTGGAGATGGGGTCCACTATCACTCACACGATGTCTATAGGGGGTTCACTAATATTCATAGGATTTGTATGGGGTCCACTACCACTTACAGGAAGGGTATGAGGGTTCACTACAACTCAGAGGATTTGTATGGGATCCACTACCACCCACAGGAAGGATATGGGTTTCACTATCATTCACAGAATTGGTATGGGATCCACTACCACCCACAGGAAGGGTATGGATTCGACTATCACTCACTGAATTGGTATGGAGTCCACTACCATTCACAGGATGGGTATGGGTTCCACTACCACCCACATGAACAGTATGAGGTTCCACTACCACCCACATGAACAGTATGAGGTTCCACTACCACCCACAGGATGGGTATGGGGTCCACTACCACTCGCAGCATGGGTTTGAGGTCCACTAGCTACCATACACAGCATGGGTGTGGGGTGGGTAATAGGTGAACTAACATATATTCACTTGTGTTTTCTTGTAAACAAATGCAATATTATATAATACAATTATGGATATATAAAAGGGGAGCAGCTCACCTGAGACACACCGGGGCACGAGCAGATGATATAGTGGCGTCCCCAACGACGGCCAGCGGGTGACTGGAGCCTCGTACTCGGGTCCTGTGTAGTCATTCATGCACCTCTACCCTCCCCCCCTCCTCCCCCTACCACCACTCGAATCAAACTGTCTCAACCCCACCCCCCAATCATATTGTCTCAACCCCACCCCCCTAACCATACTATCTTAACCCCACCTCCAACCATACTATCTCAACCCCACCCCAATCATCCTGTCTCAACCCTCACCTGAAGTCTCTCTGGTACCTGACAGAGAATGAGGATTGGTGTGAAGTTTCCTTTGTTATTTTAGAAGCTTTCTTACAATCAAATTTTCTTGCTAAAATTTTCCTGTTTCATCACTCCAGGGGGCCAGGATTTATCAATCATTTATGCAGTCACTTACGAAACCTGTACATCTTTCCTCAATCATGGCAGCTTTGTTTACATTAAACAGTTTACGAGCTCCGAAACACTATGAGGTTGTTAATAACAATAATAACCTTGTGTTGTGACGTTTCCAAGCTTGTAACGTGTTTAATAAATGTAAAGAAATCCGACATAATTAAGGAAAGATATGCATGTTTCGTAAGAAGTTGTGTATATGCTTGATAAATCCTAGCCTCTGGAGTGATCAAACAGGAAAATGTTAGCAAGAAAATTCAATAGCCGGAAAAATAACAGAGAAGGAAATCGCACAATTACATTCCTTTTTTTTTAACATAGTCGGGAAGTATAAGAACTCAGAACTGCTGACTCCTGTTAGCAGACTAAGAGCTGTCCCTTCCCATAGCTCATGGTAAGCCTTACCCTTACTGGTTTTCCCTGGAACACGACCCGCCAATCATATATCAACTGGGTACCCAATCAATGCTCGGTGAACAGAGGAGTATGATAAAAAATTGACGCCTAGTCAATCCTCCCTGGACAGGATACGAACTCAGGTCAAATTGCTCGCGAAGAGCGGGGGAAGTGTGTTACCACTGTACCACAGGGACATTCATTTTCAGGTACCAGAGAGGCTTCAAGTGAGAGATTAATATGAGAACCTTAGATGGGAAGTTTTCAGATGAGAGGTTCCCAGGAAGTTTTTAGAAATCTCTAGGAAGTTTTCCGATGAGACTTTTTCAATGACGTTTTCACATGGGAGGTTCCATGAAAGTTCTCAGAGGAGAGGTTTTCGTGATGTTTTCAAGTGGAAGATTTCCAGGAAGGATTTCGGTCTAAGGTTCCTATGGCTTCATGTGGATGTTTCCAGGGGGAGATCATTCCAGTTCCGGTTCTCCTGAAGGCCAGTCACGATGCCCTTCAGTGTTAAATCTTGACCAATTTATGCCTTGGGATCTCCTGTGTTGCAACTGGGGACCTCTTATGTTGCATTTTCGACTCTTTTTGTTGCATTTGAATCTCCTTTGTTCTATCTTGGATCTCTTGTGTTGCATCTGTGACAGTATTGGATCTTAGACCTATTATGTTGTGTTTGCAACCTTCTGTCTTGAGTTATGGACTCATTGCATTGAACTGGTAACAGGGTGTGCTAAATCGGGGACCATTTATGCAATACCTGATCCCCTTTGAACTGTCTAGGACCTCTTGGTCTCTTCATGGAACCTCCGCTTCTTTTGAGACCCTTTGTATCCTCATGAAACCACTTGTGTTATAACAAGAACTTCCTATATTATTTAAGTGTGTTAACCGTTAAGCTGCTAAAAATGTTCATTAATGTTTAAGTTGTTAAACACATTGTGCTTTGTTAATTATGTTAATAATCATTGAAGTGTTGACAATTAGTAAAATTATGTTATGCTTATGAGTTACAGAAACCAAGAACATATCTGTTGTTAAAATAACCTCAAAAGAAGTACATATGAAAAGACAATCTTACAGTTAATGGATTAGTTTAAAGAGTAATTGAAATCCCTGGCAATATGTGCTGCTTTTGGGAGTATGCATTTGCCTGCCATGCATGTCTAAGGACCCTGCATTATGGGATCTCAGACACCTGAGATCACACTAGATGTCTGGCAACACTTGTCTTTCATTTGGTGTTGGGCTTAAAGCCAATCAACCTACGGAGAGCTACTATGGCCACCACAATAGTTTACTGACCATCCAGCAAGTATACTTTATCCCTGAACATGGTCCAGGACTAAAGTATACTTGCAGTGTATATACACGGAGATATGGGATACACCTCTCAACGTATCCCATATTTGCATTGTGTTATGAATCACTTTGGAAATACCTATGGATGCGTTATGTTGAGTCTAGGACTCATTGTGTTAAATCTGCATGTTTTTTTTCCTTGTACATATAATGTATATAGTATGTATATAATGTATGGGGAGTCCAGGAATGCGGGTTCGACTCCGTTGTACAAATTCAATATATTTTTTTAATAATGTTCAGAATTTTCATCATTCTGTAAAGAGTTTGATTATGATAAAATAATTTTTTACATAAATTTCAGGAGTCAGTTCACGATGGAATTATTTGTACACATATAATAACAGGTGTAAAGATTATTTACAAATGTGATATATTTTAAGTATTAGTGATACGGCTAATTTTGTGCTAGGTGTAAGAATCGTCCCACGATAGGGACATAGGTGTACTCTTGGATCTGTGATGTGTAGTACACATTCCCATGGTGTAGTGAACAGCCCCGGGGTCTAGTGCACAGCCCTGGGGCGTAGTACACAGCCCAGGGTTGTAGTACACAACCCGGGGGTGAGTACTACACCCTGTGTAATACACGGTTAGACTGAAATAAACTAAACGAAATACGAAGGTCAGACTGGACCTTGAAGGACGACACCAGGATGGGGCCAGAGATCGTATCAACAAAGGTCAAGCGAACCGGACCTTCTGACTGCATAAAAAAAGAAATGGGAGATGCGGCGCATCATTCACATCCAACGCACGTCAGTCATCAAACACGTCAGTCATCAAACATGTCAGTCATCAAACATGTCAGTCATCAAACATGTCAGTCATCTAGCACGTGTTATGAACCCCAGGTAGTCTAACGAGGTAGGTGCCTTGTGAGAGTTATTCTACCCACCTTACTAGAGGTAGGAGTCAGGAGAAGGAAGTAAATTAAATAAACGTCAATGAATTATGACTAGATAGAGGCAAGCAGAGGACGAGCATCTTATAGAAGCTAGTGGAGATGAGATGTCGACATTTTGTTACATGTCCCCCCCTCCCCCTCTCAACCGGCCCAAACACACTACACTAACCATCCCAAACTCCCAAACCTTCTCCTCGAAGCTTCGACCTGTTGCCCCCAGGCTTAAGCTGTTAAGGTTTGAGGTGGTGTAAGCTTACAGCACCGGCACACTAGGAGGAGAAAGTCATTTTACTGCTTTCCTGATCCAACTCTCACTACTTGGACCAGCAGAGGCTGAGCTCAGAAGGGAAAGTTGGCGTGTGTGTGTGTACTCACCTAATTGTATTCACCTAGTTGGGCTTGCGGGGGTTGAGCTCTGGCGCTTTAGTCCCGCCTCTCAACTCTCAATCAACTGGTATACAGATTCCTGAGCCTACTGAGCTGTATCATTTCTACATTTGAAGCTGTGTATGGAGTCTGCCTCCACCACATCACTGCCTAATGCATTCCATCTATTACTACTCTGACACTAACAAATTTCTTTCTAACGTCCCTGTGGCTCATTTGGATACTCAGTTTCCACCTGTGTCCCCTTGTTCGCTTTCCTCCCGTGTTAAACAGTTTATCTTTATCTACCCTGTCAATTCCTCTGAGAATTTTGTAGGTAGTCATCATATCTCCCAGAGCTTTCCTGTCTTCCAGCGACGTGAAGTGCATTTTGCGCAGCCTTTCCTCGTAACTCATGCCTCTTAGTTCTGGGACTAGCCTAGTGGCATACCTCTGAACTTTTTCCAGCTTCGTCTTGTGCTTGACAAGGTACGGGCTCCATTCTGGGGCCGCATACTCCAGGATCGGTCTTACATATGTGGTATACAAGGTTCTGAAGGATTTCTTACACAGGTTCCTGAAGGCAATTCTGATGTTAGCCAGCCTTACATACGCCGCTGATGTTATTATTTTTATGTGGGCTTCAGGAGACAGGTTTGGCGTGATATCAACCCCTAGATCTTTCTCTCTGTCCATTTCCTGAAGGACTTCATCTCCCGTTCCGTATCCTGGCCTCCTGTTTCCACCTTTCTAACCAATCTTTCTAACTCATCATTATAACTCATCTAATTATTTCTTTCTAACTCAACTATTTGTGCCTGCAGGATTGAGCATTGACCTCGATGTGTGTGTGTGTGTGTGTGTGTGTCTCCTGGGGAACCTGCCAGCTGTCACCACCCACAAACCCACATAGCATGAGATAAGGACCTCGTAGAGGAGCCCCTGGGAATATTTCAGCCCGTCCTCCTGTTCTCATGTTTTTTGTAACTATTTTTTTCGTATATAGAGTTCGGAAAAAAATAGCTAAAAAACAAACGTATATATATATATTTAGGCCTAGTACAGCACACATATGTACTGAATTAGGCCTCAGATAGCTTGTATTAGGCCTAGGATAGTTTGGTTAACTTAGTTTAGGCTTCATTAACAACATAAAAAACTTTTAGTGTTTATCCATATTGAATAATAATACAAAAGTCTACTTTCCGGTGGTCCATCACGACGTATTGGTACTTCGAACACATAGTTATTGTATGTACTTTCATTTTAGGAGAATGGGCTGGAATATCTAGTCTCTGAATATGCTCATTATACCATTTTTGTTTGCCGTTTCCTTGGTGCCTCGTTGAGCTCATCTCACACCTTGGTGCCCTGTTGAGCCCCTTTTCCTTCCTTCGTGCTCCGTTGAGCCCCTCTCACACACTTTGGTTCTCCGTTAAGCCCATTCTTCCCAACTTGGTTCTCCGTTTAGCCCCACAATACATTGGTGGTCCATTGAGACCCTCTTCCCACATTGAGCCTCCATTTGATATGGTCGGCAGAACGAAGACCTCGTATTCCTATCCCAGGTCTTAGTCTGTCTCATATCCCAATTCTTAGTCTATCTCATATCCCGGCTCTTAGTCTATCTCATATCCCTCCTAAGTGTTACATAGTTCCTGCCTTTCGAGAATTGGAAGGATTCAATTTATATGAGATTAAGAGTAGGATACAAATATATCTGGCAATACGCTGTTGATGTCAGTGAAAAAGTTACGTTTAAATTATGTAGTATGCCGCACGCCCACACCTTAGATAATTATGTATTAGTGTGTCAACTTATTGATAACTAAACAAATAAGGAAATAAGTAGTGTACAACATCAAATTGTTTGGTTGTGTGATAATGGTATGATAGACAGAATACTTAGGAGCTTCAAGCACTTTGCCCCAAGAGTGTAACACTTATATGCTGTGTTTACTATATTAACCTGCAATGTTAAATGTGATTCTTGTACTGTGATTTGTGGATTTGTACTCACTGGATTTGTGCGCCCCTTGAGGGACTTAAGAGTAGAGGAGGGTAGAAATAGCCTAAGCTACTCTATCCCTTTGAGAGGTATTTTATTGTCTCAATAAACGTACAAGAACTTTCGAGAAACTGGTTTTGGTTCCTGATGTCGGGAATAGGTAGCCTGTACGTAGGCTTATCGAGGTCCCACAAGCCAACTACAGACCTTCCTCGGGATGCAACCTACAACAGATGCCTAACTCATAAGTACCTAATTTTACTACTAGGTGGAAAAAAATCCTCCCAGCTCCCTGGTTACCGCCCACCTTCACCTGTTGGCTACTGTGTGATGCAGTAAACTTCTGATATAGGTTAACCTGTTGATAAGTATATACTGATAAGGAAGTGAAGTGAGTGTTCAACTGTCTTGATCATAAAAGGTATTCTGAACTTTTCTACCTCTACCTAGTGATGAGCCTCATGTTGTTAGTTTCTTATTGTTTATTAAATAATCTTATTTCATAATGTTTGTGTGTATATTTAATATTTGTATCTGCAGAATGGAGCTATTAGCTCTTGGACCTCGAGTTGGTGTCTAACCAATTTATTTTCCTGTAATATGTTTACTCCATATATTTCTTTTACACACGCGCACACACACATTCCCAGGAAGCAGCTGTCTAACTCCCAGGTATTTATTCACAGCTAGGTGAACAGCGCACCAGGAGTGAAAGAAACTCTGCCCATTTGTTTCTGCCTCAGACGGGGATCGATCCCGGGCCCTTAGTACTACGACACTAAAGCACTGTCCACTCAGCCGCGAAGCCCCTTTAGTATCGGGTTACATTATGTGTGTGTGTGTGTGTTGATTGATGATAGATTCGTAAGACAGTGAGAATAGCCTCCGCCGCTATATTCAATGTCTTCTAAAATTTTGCTCCTTTTGGACAACTAATTAGCTACTCATATTTTATTTTTCAAGCCTAATCTCGTTCACAATGTTGGTTCTCGTTTACATATATTCTCCAGTTATTCAACGTTATGTTTCACCATACGATTTGTTTCCCACTACTTAGCATAGTAATGTTAAATTAAATAATTAATTTTGTAAGTCATTAGGACAACTATTTGCTGCATCGATATGTCTACTATATGATTGATTATTTATTTATGGAAATCATTTGGACAACTAATTGCATAAACATTATGTAACATGTAATGTTAAAGCACTAATTAATAAATTTATTTAAAAACCCATTCCGGATTTTGCTCGTACCTCCGAAAATAATTTACCATTTCATGTTATTTTTGCATAAATCGTGAATTTAATTAATAGCCATTAAAATAAATAATAATGGAGAAAACGACTATAGTGCTGTAGTGCGTGAAGGTGAAGAAAAGACCCAATTTATGTTTAAGTGTATTAACAAACAAATTTTTAGATGTAACCTACATCCTTTCTTATGTTTACAGTACCTTGAGAAAGGATGTAAGTTATATCAGAAAATTTGGTATATATATATATATATATATATATATATATATATATATATATATATATATATATATATATATATATATATATATATATATATATATATATATATATATATATATACAAATAAATCGTTTGTAGGTTTCCATAATATAAAACCCCTTCTCAAAATGCTTCATCACTGGTTGAAGGACAATGATCAACTATGTTTAGTCATTTAAACACATCCACACACAACACAAGCAAGGCTAAATATAAATATATATTATCTACATAACAATGTATTCGTTAAATAATTTATAACATTATAATGATTATTGATATAAGGAATCTGTTTATTATTTGTTATTTCGTTCTCCCGCCACTAGTAATACTAATATCCGCCTTTGTTAATGGTCATTTTGAAATTTTAAGTTTCAGCCAATCAGAGGGCAGTATCCAGAAATTTGAAGCTCCGTGTGGGGCCTTCCCTACGTGGGGCATTTTGTGGGGCAAAATTAAATCTAGATCACACTGGAAGTCTATGTACTACCCGTTATATCTAAGTCTATAAATGGAACAACCAGGAGATTGTATTATCTATACATCCACAACATCAATCATTCAGAAATAAGTAAGAATCAAGCTAGCTAATATTAAACAAAGAAGATTATTGGCACAATGTTTTATAAATGGCAGACAATACAAATTAAATAAGATCCAAAGAAAATTTAAACAATCTTGTTGCAACATTCCTCTAGAATAACCATGGAACTTGATTAGAAGCTTTCAGACTGGAGAGATATGGGCGCCACTAGACTATAGTGATCTCTCGTCAAAGTTAAAATAAAAAAGATCTTTGAGTTATGAGTCTATAATGTCTTAAGATTTTCACACAAGCTAATATTTGACACGTGGGTAAAGCACCGATATATATGTTAAACCTATTTCAAAGTGTTATATCGTTGAACATATAAATCTCAGCTTATTATTTGCCAATAATATTTTTCATATCTGTTTTATCAGATTTTTTCAACTCAGTTTCTTTCTTTATTATGCACCCCATACCTATCCCGTGGGCGGTGGTGTAAAGGGTTAGAGAGGCACATAATTGCTTTTGGAACTGAACCCCCCCCCCCCTAGTTCGTTTAGCTAAGCAAATAACAATCTTTTGACGCTAGTTACACAATTATTAATATTATATATACTCGTACACATACTCATACATAAATGTACATATATATATATATATATATATATATATATATATATATATATATATATATATATATATATATATATATATATATATATATATATATGTCGTACCTAATAGCCAGAACGCACTTGTCAGCCTACTATGCAAGGCCCGATTTGCCTAATAAGCCAAGTTTTTCTGAATTAATATATTTTCTCTAATTTTTTTCTTATGAAATTATAAATCTACTCATTTCATTATGTATGAGGTCAATTTTTTTTATTGGAGTTTAAATTAACGTAGATATATGACCAAACCTAACCAACCCTACCTAACCTAACCTAACCTAACCTATCTTTATAGGTTAGGTTAGGTTAGGTTAGGTAGCCAAAAAAGTTAGGTTAGGTTAGGTTAGGTAGGTTAGGTAGTCGAAAAACAATTAATTCATGAAAACTTGGCTTATTAGTCAAATTGGGCCTTGCATAGTAGGCTGATAAGTGAGTTCTGGCTATTAGGTACGATATATATATATATATATATATATATATATATATATATATATATATATATATATATATATACATACACACACACACACACACACACACACACACACACACACACACACACACACACACACACACACACACACACACACACACATATATATACAATCACCTAAACAAATACACACATCAATAATATTTTGTATCACAAGTGATTCAACAAGAGGCTCACAACAGTCACTGTACAAGGCACTTTACATCTATGGTGAGTCACACATTTAATAGTGTTGCTCCACACCCACCCAACTGTGCTGCAGCTTTACAGTCATATGCATGCACTACCTACAGTAAGCAAAATTTGGATACTTCGCTAAGATTCCGGGCAGCACATCATTATGAATGAAGTACTTACACATTTCTTGGACTCCACTGATGGTGGTGGATGGTGGAGTTTTGGAATCTCTGAATTCCGCGATTTTTTCACATTCCATTATATAATGACGCAAAGTATACGAATAGTTCTTCTGACAGAGTTTACATTTAGTCAAATCTACATCAGCAGATGTTACAAACTCACAGAGATCAGATACCAGTCACATTGTACACAAGGTAGTTCGCCAACGGATTTTAAAACCTACCTAACCTTATCCAACCTAACAGAACCTAACTCAAACGAGCTGCATAACCTAACCTAACGATATATATATATACGGATTTGATAATGAAAAAATTAGCTTTGTCTTGTGTATGAGTTGACTGTACCCTATTTTGTCGTACCTTGGTTCTATTGCTGTTCATTAAGGGTCAGTGAAGCCTTCATTTATTCTGGCGATATCACTGTTTACAGGAAAAAAAGAGGCCTTTATTCTGCTAATACCACGATGACAGCTCAAAGGTAACAGAGGCCTTCATTCTGGTGACACCATTGGGGTTGGATTCTCTCCGCCATGACGCCCCTCTTGACAAGCCGTTGTCGATGGTGGATGAGTCGGGTTTCAGCGGCTAGCCAGGTGCTGTCGGGGTTGGTCCACAACCGCTCCGCCAGAGCTGACCCGCGCGGCCACAGCTGAAGAATAAGTTACCATGTGTCATCTTTAAAGTAATAAACGTTTACTAATACATCTACAGTATTTCGTTTTTCACTTTATTATAATATAAATTTTAGGCAAAATGAGCTAGTTACCCTACCTTTGAATCCAGGGTTCCTTCATCTACTTGATGGGTATAGAGAGCTGCTTCGCCTCCTAGAATAAGATCACGATGCGAAGATCCAGTAAGGTTCCTCACATTGTTGATTGGACTATTGTCGTATACGGTTTGCCAGCCCATGTAGGTGCTACACAAATTTTCGCCAGTAGAAACTGGGTTTACCAATCCACAACCTAGATGCCAGGCGTCGTAGTTGCTGAAGATGACTCGAAAACCCTTCTGCAGGAGGTTCTTGATGGTTTGGTTTCCTTCAGTAGTCCAGAGCTGGATAATATAGTGTTGTGGGTCGAGGTGGCTCTCAGCGCTGTCCATCTCCGTGAGCCGAGAGTTCAAAAGGATCCCAGGGATCTGTTTACCCAGGTTAGCTTCAGAAAGAAGATGGTAGGCTGACTTCTGGAAGTCTGCCCAAAGCTTGTAAAAGGACTCAGCGCTTCTCCCAAGACCCGCTTCCTCTAAGTGGGCCACAATCGCGTCCGTCGTGTTCCAGCAATTGAGGTTGACCTTGGCAGAGAGAGAACAGAGAGTAAGATATCCGAGTGTGTTGCTAGCAGAGCCAAAATATGCTATTCTACAATGTATTTACTTTTTTATACAGGTTGGTTCAGGAGGAGACTACTTCTGGCTCATGTTTGCAGGCTTATAGTTTTCCCTTCTCACTACTCATTTGAAGACTTATTCTATTGGTTTTCCCAGGCACACAACTAGTCAATCGATTTATAACCAGGTCCCCAATTGAAATCACAATGGCGTAATATATCAATTAAAATAATTTTTCATTGATGTATCAGGGGCCAGTTCGGGGCTTCTAGAACCTCCCCAGTGAATTCAGTAGAGTTCCAGGTTGGTCGACTTTTGTACCATCGCGGCCGAATCGGTTAAGGATAATGATAACGGTAGAAAGTGGTAAGCCACTTTGACTATATAGCACTTGCAAGAGATTCGAGTACAAGGAGCTGGGTTATAAGGACAAGAAGCTGGATTATAAGGACAAGGAGCTGGATTATAAGGACAAGGAGCTGGATTATAAGGACAAGGAGCTAGGATATGAGGACAAGGAGGTGGGTACACAAACTTTAGAGCTGGAATATGAGGAAAGTTGAAACATTTGCTGGAATTATAAGAATATGGAGTTCTGGCAGCTCCTGCGACGGCCCTGGAACCATGCGTATTGGCGTTCGCCTTTATATTGGACAATTTCAGCAACGTCGAGAGGGGGGGGGTCCTGTGGTATGGGTAACACCTTCTCCATATCGACCTACCCAGGCTTTGCGCCCTGGTGAAGACACTCCAGCCTCGGCAACCAGAGCGCAACTCCATAGTCTCCCAAGACTGTAGGATGCCTACTACCTTACTCATATCTCTTCCAAATGCTACATAGTCATGCTGTCTTAAGTAATTATCAAAATAAGGCGCTAAGCCGAGAAGACTGCATACACACTGGCTTAGCGCTCTCTCCCAATAAATAACTTTCCTTACATCTCAAATATAATGCTATTAATATTTTGGCCAAAGAATCTGGCAAGTTGCACAAAAGTGAAGGATATCGATGATTCCGTACCTCACTTCCTCCAAAGTGGAAGAGGTCGAGGGGACTGAAGAGGTTTACCATCTCCTTGTAAATATGCGACAGGACGGTGAAGGTGTTGTTGTTGAGGACGTCCAGCTGGCCACACGGAGGCTCGCTGCAATACGACCTCCAGGGTTCCTGCAGGCAAACGTTGCTTTCACTATTTTTTATGCCAAGAGATATATCCTTTCGCTGTTGTTGTTTTAGATTCGGCTACTCGGAACAAAAAGCTCCAAGCGGCACAAGTTCTATGGTCGCCTGTCGTACTCACCTAGCACAGGTGTGTCGACCTAAATCCTTTCCTGTCTGGCATGTTATAATGTTCACAAAGGTAGAATCTTTTAGGTATGGTGTTCGGCTTGAGGCCTATCAACCTCTGGAGGATTATTAATTAGGATTCGGGATTCTGTCCGAAACGCTATGCGTGTTAGTGGCTTTGTAAGAAATGTAAGAACACTGCTATTAAGTACTCTCACCACTCAATGTACCTACTTGTAAATAAATAAATTAAAAAAAATAATAAATAAATTAAGGCCACAATAGTTTTCTGGCCAACTAGCAAGTTTGGTGTTGGGCTTAAGACCTGTCAACCCCAAGAGCAACCATGAAGTATACGTTAGTCTCAACATAGTTCTGGGGCGGGATTCATCAAGCATTTACGCAACTGATGAACCTGTACATCTGTTCTCAATATTTGGCAACTTTGTTTACATTAATTTACAAGCATGGAAACTTCCCAATCAAATGTTATTGTTATAAACAGCCTCCTAGTGCTTCCGAGTTCATAAAACTGCTTTAATATATGAAATCAAAGTCGTCAAATATTGAGAAAAGATGTACGGGTTCGTAAGTAGACGCGCTAATGCTTGATGAATCTCGGTCCAGGACTAAACTCTTGGTGTATGTACACCTATGACTTAGGTGCGCCTTATAGTGTGTGTATACTATACCTTGTCGGAGACACTGTTCTGCCTGACATAAAAAATAAGAATCAGTTCTGCCTGTCATATAAAACACGAGAATCTGTTCAGTCTGGAAAATCATAATGTCTTATGCGCGACAAACGTTATCAAATTATTTGCATTGCAACTTGGTTCTAGATAGAAGGAAGAAAATATTTTGTAAGATTCAGGAATTAAACCTGAACACACTGATCCTAGCAACATTTATCATGGTATTAAAGAAGTTTGTTGCCACATATACTTAGTGAATTAGTATTAATAGAAAACAGTAAATTTATCAGTAAACAGGATGATCCATTAATTAATTAAACTAAGAAAACTTTGTATCAATAAAGAAATTTTTAGGAACGCAGTGAACGTTGCGGCAGAAAAATTTTACTTTCTAACATCTAAAGTAAAGTTTCGCTATTATTTTGAACAGTTCTTTATTTGTTTATTAATTTATTTGCTTATTTTATTTTATTTCCAAGAGATATTGCTATATTAGAGTTGAACACTCATTAAAAGCGTATTTGGTGCATGTGAAGGGACCTCTGGCAACCGGTACTGCAGCCCGCTATTAGAGTATTATAACAGAATGGCAATTACCTGATTTACACAAACAGCAATCTTGCCCAATCCTTGCTTCTCAGTCCACTGCCACCCGTTACCCACATGACCGGGAGCGCTGAACTCTGGAAGGACCCTCACCCCTCGCACCCGGCCGTACTCCACCAGGTGGCGTACATCCGCCGGCCTGTAGATTTGGCGCGGGGAATAAGCACCGAAAAAGGCCATTTTGGGCAGGTTCTCCAGGTACAGAGGGAAAGACTGCGAGTCGGTGATGTGCCAGTGGAAGGTGTTGAGTTTGTTGGCCGCCATGGCATCCAGGGTGCGTTCAAGGGACTTAACACTGAAGTAATTCCTTGCTGTATCAAGTAGAATTCCCCGGTACTTGAAGAATGGTACGTCGGTGATTGCGGCCGTTGACACAATCTACGAATGCAAAACATATTAGCCCGGAACACACAAGTGAAATGCATTGAAAAAAGTTGTGGGAAGCTACCTCCATTCAAAAAAGTTAATGCCAGATTCGACAAGGAATTGGTACGTCCGAATAATTCAATTATAAAGTGATAGTTACAGCCAGGCTAGTAGACGGGGCATAAAGAGCTAGACCTCCCTTCCCGTAGTCACTGATAGATAAGCATTACACCAATCCAACCTCTAAAAATTATAGTACTTATTACAACTATTGAAGGAACATGCTGAATTAAAATTCACGTTCTCTACTATTAGAAGGCCAGAAAGTACAAGCCTCAAACTAGAACAGTAACTATACAACCTAACTTAATCTGTCCGAGGCCTAAATAAACAATTCCAGGCCTAATATATTCCATACTAGGACTAATTTAGTAAATATGTGTTATAATATGTCTAGGAAATTTTAGAATTGGTTGTTGCCTTTATTCTCCTGCCCTCAGTAAAACTAATTGTATAAAAGTGTTGATTTTTGGGCAACAGTATATTTTTGTATGTTCCATTAATAGTTGCAATAAGTATTATCGTTTCTGGACGAGTTACCCGCACCAACAATGCCCTCGGAGCCTACCTCAAGAACGCCAGCCAGGTCGTCGAATTCGATTAGCTGAGAGAGTGTTTCTAGTGCGTGTCGCGCCCCGAAGAAGGTAGTCGCTAGGATGGTGGCGTTGGTGACGGTGCCGCGGGTGGTGAGGCCAAGCGTATAGGCTTCCGAGGTATCAAGTAACAGCTTGGTTGATCCTCGACTCACTGTCACGTCAACGTCTACACGATGACTCGTTACCTGTAATAAGAAACATTGACGTATTACTTGAAAACGATCACCTTCTCTTGAACCCATAATAAGAGAAGATTTTAAAGTACTTAATATAAATAAATAATAAGGTATACCTACTCTGTTTTACTGAACCCATCTTAATTATTCCCTGCCATTTATTAATTGATCCAATAGTCTAACTCTATGTTATAAAAACTTGTCCCTCAGGTTTAAAGTTTTTGTTACTATATAATAATTTCGGAATCAAATAACCTAATATAAAGGTAGCTTTACCTATCTTTGTTTAATATACCGTATTTGCGGGCAGACAGGACGCAATGTTTGATTGCAATAAATTAATATGAAACATACAAAAACAAATTCTCACAATATCCTTCTTAATTAAGTGCGTCTTCAATGCCGACAAATGCGAGATTATATATATATATATAATATATATATATATATATATATTTTCAATTTAGTGACTCCATATACTCAGTACCTGTCTACTAAAGGGGCCCAAAACCATTGGTTTGCCTCCTGTTTCGGGTATGTTATTGTTCACGTTCTCCTTGAAGATGTCGAAGGCCTTCGTTACCAACTGCTTTACTTCGTCAGTAGGACCCGCCACCCCTCGAAGCGTCAGCGCCTCCGCCATAAAGTGGACTGTCTGTTGGAAAGAAGATATCGAACTGAAGAGATAGAAGGGTTCTGTATATATATACATGATTAATTTAAATGATTATGTATACAAACATTTAAGTGGGTGTGTAAATGCGCATTACCTTTTAATGTACGATATACAATTCCCAGTGGTAACACTCACCCCGCGCATCGCAAACGATTTGGCCTGGGTTCGTATCCTGGCCGGGGAGGATTGACTAGGCGCCAAATCCTTAACTGTACTCCTCTGTTCACCCAGCAGTGAATGGGTACCTGGTTGTTAAATGATTTGGTGGGTCGTATTCCAAGGAAAATTAAGATTAAGGATCTGTGCGCATCAATATGCGTACTAGTGGCTTTACAAGAATGTAAGAACTCTTGTATATATAAAAAAAGACTTCAGATGCAGCGGATATATCAGGCTTCAGATACAGCAGAGATACTAAGCTTCAGATAAAGCAGAGATACTAAGCTTCAGATACAGCAGAGATACTAAGCTTCAGATACAGCAGAGATACTAAGCTTCAGATACAGCAGAGATACTAAGCTTCAGATACAGCTGAGATACTAAGCTTCAGATACAGCAGAGATACTAAGCTTCAGATACAGTTGAAATATGAACCTGCAGAAACGTAAACCTTCAGATCAATCAGAAATGTGAACTTTCAGATACAGTAGAGATGAGAGGCATCAGATACAGCAGAAATGAGAACTTCTAGGAGAACACGACCTTCTGGAATACCAAGAACTAATAAAGACCAAGAACCTAATAGCAACGTTCTAGGTCCTTGTACTTATTAGTTTTTTGGGTCTCCCTGAAGTTGGCTGCGCCACCTCCCTCTGCTGTTCTGATTAATGCTTCTTCTTTCACTGGAGAAATACAGTGGCCCTAATCACAGGATATCACTCACAGTACTACAGTCATAATGTCACTGGAACATCAGAATGTCACTGTCTTGCTGCAGTCTTTCCCTTTCAAAACCAATCCTCACTTGACGAGGACTGTTTGTTCGATGCTAGTTGAGTCAGGCTTACTAGTGAAAATTACATTCTTCATTGAATGTAGATGTCTTCCATAGCCTGGATGAGGAAAACAAAGTGGTTCTCCAGCCACTGGCATTCCTTGAGTCATATCTGGATCGATCAAACAGTCCGCACCTGGCTCGCCATTAACTCTTGCAAATGCACATATTCTTAATCGAGCTGTTACTGTGAACTATGAGCTACAGACTCTTCACTCGGGTCTAGCTCCCTTGCACTGTATCTAATCTTAACCCAATAAGAAGAGTGTCGCAGTTCATCAACTTTCATCAAACTCTCAGGTCAGAGTGAGGGACTCCAGGGCCTCACATCTCCTCGGCAGTCACGTGACCGGAGCACACTGATTGGAGAGTTAATATAAAATTTGACCAAACAGGTCACATGTCTGTATCCGGGACTTTGGGACCTGACTCTGGCCCGACAGGCACGAAATTCTGCTTGAAGCAGTGACATTATGTCACCATTTTCAAAATCACAGCCTAGGTCACCCTATCAAAATTGCACAGAAAACATACATTCTATTTCTATGTAACTTGAACTAAATGTTACTGTGGGCCATCTGGCATGTGTATAAAGGAGTATATATATATGACTTGAAAGCAGGAATTAAAGATGGGAGTCATGACGACAGCTCTCGTAACACCTATCACCCGCAACAGGATCACTTCACGTTCATGACAAGAACTAAAATAAATAAATATTGAGGCAGTACGATGGGATCAAACCTGCGACCCTGAACTCCTGAGACACATGCATTACCCATTGGACCGTGATGGGCTCGTTAAACATCTCAGCCAGAAAGAAGTACTACATGACTCCATGTAAGTCAAGTAGTACTTCTGGTTGAGTTTAACATACTTTTTTTGTATTCTATCATGTAGTTGGTAGTGTGTGTCTGGGGAGTTCAGTGGCATGGGTTCGATCCCATTAAACTGTCTTAATATTTATTCATAGATTCTTCAGAATTAAAATGTTAACACAAAATAGTGATGGAATCAATGGACATGAATTTCATAAGTTTAGATTCAGGAAAGACCTGGGTAAATATTGGTTTAGAAACATGGTGGTTGAGTTATGAAACAAATTACTCTATTGTTATGTTCTTATTCATCACGTACTTGTGATTTCATTGCTAAAGGACTCACCTGTTGTCCAACACGAAGGAGACCTGTGGGCCTGGGCCACAGGACACTGTCTCTGTTACACGTGAGCTTACAAGAGCTGAGGCCTGCTAGGCTGCGCTGACCGGTATCCTCCTCTCTTATACACGTCTCGTTCACACATCTCCAGCCCCATGGACTTGCTTCCCTGAAACGAAGGTCACGACAGGTCAGTCAATAGGCTACATTCATTAAGTAACTGCCAGATGGTTTCAAGTACAAGTTAGATATATAAAAGAATGTGTTTGTGTGAATATAAATAAGTGAAGCCTCGTATAGGCCAATGGACTTTCTGGAGTTTCATGTATTTTTTATGTTATATACCATGACTTTAACAAAGCCTTTAATTGAAAGTGTACCTCGAGATACTCATTAGAAATATAGTGACACATGGTACTGGGGGCAGAGGGGTTGTACTATGTTGAATAAGGACATGGTAATTTCAAATGAAACAAAGGGGTAAGCATTAATAAAGTTAGGTCCGAGAGGGAAAACTGCTTTATGAGGAGTGCCCAAAGGCTCTGTTCTAGGATATCTGTTGTTTATCGTTGATCGTTGTAATTTACATTCTCTAGAGCGGCAGAGTTAGAGGTAACATGATTGAAGTATATAAATGGATCAAAAGATATACCAAAAAAGATCTAAATAAGACATTAAATATATCAATTCAAAATGGAACGTGTAACAATGGAAACAAACTGAACGAGATTAGATCAAGAAACAGTTTACAAATATTGGTGCAGAAACGGGGTTGTTAATATATGGAATAAGTTACCGAGTAACATAATAGACGTTAAATCGCTGGATTGTTTCAAGCGTGGGGTAAACATATATAAATTCATTTGTTTGGGTATAAATAGACTATGTAAACAAGCCGCATTTGTTGTGATGAGCTGTTTATTAACTGAGACTTTGCCAACACGAATAAACAAACTATCCTTTTCTTTGTTAATCCCTATAATATAAAATATTAATTTAAATTTGATAAAACGCCGTTTTTTTTATCAGACATACTGAAAGATGCGTCCTTACAGTCGGCTGCCAAAAGTATTACTCAGATACTGACTTATATAAGTGTACGATAGTCTGCAGGCGATGAGTCACAATAACGTGGCTAAAGTATGTTGACCAGACCACACACTAGAAGTTGAAGGGACGACGACGTTTCGGTCCGTCCTGGACCATTCTCAAGTCGAAACGTCGTCGTCCCTTCACCTTCTAGTGTGTGTGGTCTGGTCAACGTACGATAGTCTGGTTATGTGTTTTTGTGATGGCGGATGGGTTGTGTTATGTTGTACCTGAAGTTAGCGCTGGAGGGAAGACCAGCCACAGCCAGACACGCTAGCAGCGGGAACCACCCTCGGGATGACGCCATTCTTGTAAACACAGTTTTGGCTGAAAACAAAAAGAACATCAAAGTTAGACTCAAATGGCAGCCATGATACTACAACCTTATTTACTAGCTGTGTCTCCCACAAGCAAATGACGTTGATGTAACATTGGTTGTGGTGACCAAACCACACATCAGAGAATGGAGAAACGACGACATTTCAGTCCATCCTGGACCATTATCAATTTGTGTAATGGATCATAGCAACATTTGATCAACATTGATTTAATGATGATTTAACGTAGATCCCACGTTGATTTAACATTTGTCCAACACTGATGTTACGTTACTCAAGAATGTTTTTCCCATTGGGAATTAAGTTTATAGCAGTGTGGATAGACCTCTCTCGGCACGAACTACAGTCAGAAGACATACGTACACACCAGTCAGAAAACTTGCACAATGGACAGTCAGAAAACATACGTATCTTGAACAGTCAGAAGACACGTACGCATCACATCCAGAAAAAGAAACACTCACCACAGAGTCAAAAACTATATGTATGGATATGAAGAGAAGCTCTGATAAAATATAATGCATATGACAACTTCTCCATCAAAATGATATCCTGTAATATATGTATATATACATCGGTGTGGGTCCACTGGAGGATAAGAATGCTGCAAGTCAAGATAGCAGGGAGAAGGGACCACGACTTGTGGCAAGATATACTCTTGACCCTTCACCCACTTTCGCCACCAGTATATTTCTTCCTCCACGGTCACTACCCACTTCCACACACACACATACCTTATGTATATACCTCACCTCTCTATTTCTTAGGAATTGTTTCATCTATACGTATAATTATATGTATGCATGTAAAGTATATATTATTATATACATACCTTACATGCATACATATAATTATGCGTACAGACTAAACAATTCCTAAGAAATAAAGAGGGTTGCTGGTGATTTAGATTTAGCTACTCGGAACAAAAAACTATAAGTAGCTATGGTGAGCCCGTAATGGACTTACCTGGCACAGGAGCGGGGCTGTAGCTCTGTGAAATAGAAAGGGGCGAGACTTTTCCTACATCACAGCTCATTGCCTCTCTGTGACGCCTTGCATGCCCCAAATCATGCTTCTGTACAGTCACCTTCCGATGGATTACCTCCCATCTTCGACTTGTGGCGACCACCACTTAGGCCAAGAAGACATCCAGACATTCATAATATAGAAATCGTGGAAAGTCAGGCTCAAGAGTTTTATATACCAACGCTGATGGAATCACAAATAAAGTAGATGAAAATAAACAGGATTACTGAAATAGAATATGATATGATAACTGGTGGAAAATATTAACTGAATAATCACATCCTGTAGTGCAGTGAACTACATCGTCGGCTTTCAACCGAGGGTTTCTAAGTTATATTATTAGATTTTGAAACCCAGCCGTTGGAATAGCGTATCCAAGAGCTAAAGCTTGGTTATAAAGACACAAGTGGATGACTACACACACAGACACGTATGTACGGGTGATCAACAGTGGAAATGTACTGAAAAACGTTGTGGAAGCCACCTCCAATCCACAACTTAAGGCCAGATTCCATAATGAAATCGAACGTCAGAATAGTTAAATTATAACACAAATACACCAAGGCTTGTAACTTGCTAGACCTCACTTTCTCAGTCACTGAAGGGTCAGCACTGTCAGACAGGCACACAGACAAGGAGAAAGCAATTAAGTCCTTCACCCTCTTGCAAGGACAGTAATAACAATGACCTCATGTACCATGCAGTCTATTCAGTCAATACATCAAAGTAGATCTTTATATTTAACAATATATGACCAATATACAAATAACTAGTAGTTCTCAGGCTCCAGCACGTAGATCCCCTCCTCTCACTCACTCACCCCCCCCCCCCCATCTATCGAGACTTTTCTTCCCAGGACGACGAAGTCAAATTTAAATGTCAGCGACCAAGGACAGTATATATACTGATTAACGATTTAAGTGAGGTTAGTCAAATTTTAAACTTTTTTCGTTATTGAATTAATTGAAAGGGAAAAATATGCATACATAAGTTGTTGGGTTTACAGTAGTGATATATTTTTGTTTTATATCCAGTATATTAACTAGTTCGTTTGGCATTCCTTATCCCACATACAAGTTAACCGGATGTCGACACTTTCATCCATAATTTTCGATTATTTTTTAATCGGCTACTCTTCTCTCCATTATTTCGTCTGAGTAATGTATCATACGTATCACCATAAAATATATTCAAGAAGTTTGATTGCAAAATGAATTGCCACTGACTTGCTACATCAGTTCCGTTTTCTCTGAGACGCCTCGCTAGGCCGTCCTTGGACATGACGCCATGTGGAGAATTCTTGTTATATTTTTAAATATTTCCTTCAAATTATGGGTAAATGAGTACTGTTTACCTCTGGCTTAATGTTTACTAGTGTGTATATATTTGCGATCGTCTATGCTGTTGTGTTAGGCATGGGTACTTACCTAAATAACATAGAAGAGAACTATTGACACACCTTCCTGCACTTCCTACTCTGTGGCCATGGGCTAGCATGACCGTGTAGCTCTTTGTTTGCTTAATTGTTAGATACGTTTCCTGTATGTATGTATCTGTTTCTTTTTGGGGAGTTTGAAGGAGGGGTAGTGAGGTGCTTGAGGAAGGTATGTTGAGGAGCTTGAGGAAGAGGTGGTGAGGATTAAGGAGGGAGCGGGTGAGGGCTCAGTATGGAGCAAGGGAGTGGTCATGACAGGAGTGTCAGGAGGTGGGGAGAGGAGTCAGCAGAGAAGGTGGGGAGAGTCAGCCAGCAGTTGGAGGAGTCAGTAGGGAAGGGGTGTCAGGAGTTGGAGGAGGCAGTAGAGAAAGGGTGATCTAATAGAGCTGAATTTTAAAATTCTGTATTGTTCATTGAAATCCGTCTTAGAATATTGCGGCTTAATGTAATATACATTTCTTACCTACGAGTTTCCAGCTATATCATGTATCAAATGCATGTGTTTAAAATGTGAATGTGAACTGTGAATTTAAAAATAAAAATAAAATTGTTCAGTATAGAATATAAAAATGTAACGTTTTTTGTAATAATCAAGTTTTCTTTTTTAACAGGGGAAACTTAGAGAAAGTGTACTTTCCTTTTTCCTTGGTACGTACTATCAGACATAAGAAAGTTCTTAGTCACACTGACTAAGTAATTACTCCATACACTCACGAATATTGGAAGATATTCTTGATATTCTAGTGCAGGCAGCCTGCACTAGCAAAATTACCCCTAACAGGAGGTTAAAGTCTATTATGATGACAACTTTGACTAATTTTTGTAATATTTGTAGAGAAGAAGAACCGGTTTTCTCTCTCTGCCGAATGTTAGGGAAGGAGATTGTAACAACTTATTCCTCTCCACACCCCTCACTCCCAACACAGCATTTCTTCCCCATCACCCCTTTGCCTACACACCTTAACCCCCGTCCCCCAACCACAAGACACCAGAGGGTTGAGACAGCTTCCTCCCCCCCCCTCTCACAGGAGGCACCAGGGGGCTGGGACAGCTTCCTCGACTCCCCCATCCCCAACCGCTTCCCTCTCCCCAAGAAATCCTGCATCGTGAGCTTTGAAGGACGGACCCCCATGATCATCCTGGCACAAGTCCCGTTGAATGCACCTTAACCTATCTTTCCTGTTTTTCCTGTTGCCTTTTTCTCAAAATTTCCGGCTGTTCTGACACAAATTATAAATTTTCACAGCAAATCTGAAAAGTTCTTTTTTTTTAACAAAAGACTAATTTTTCTTTCCTTTCACTTGGTTTTGCCGTTTTTATTTCTTCAATCACACGTATACATGCTTTGATCCCCTCGAGGGTCGAGTTTATTTAAATTTATTAAATACTTTTAAACATTTTATGTCATTAACATTCGGCAAATACTGCCGATGTAGACCTGACCAAATGTAAACTGTGTCAACAAAATTATTAGCACACCCTCCGTCACTATGTGATGGAGTGCGAAAAGATACGTGAATTCAGAGACAAATCTATACCCAATGTTCCAACGATGTGTAACTATTTCATTCAAAATGATCTGCTACCAGAAATTTTAGCCAAATATCCCCAGTTTGCTAACTGTAGGTAGTAACTGAGTGACTGTAACCTATCCACCGCTGCCCACTGGATGGGGGGCGGTGTGCAGGACAAACATATCAATTGTGACACTAGCTCTCCACATATGTCAGTTGCTTTATTTAGAAATTGTACTTGTGGTCGATCTCGAACCCGTCGATGATGTGACGACTTATGCTGAATTTTGTAACTAGCTCATCAAGATTATAACTTGCTTAGCTAAATGAATTGTGGGGTTCAGTCCCTGAGCCCATTATGTGCCTCTGTAACCCTTTCCACCACCGCGCACAAGATGGGTATGGGGTGCATAATAAATGAACTAAACTAACTGCAAACCCATTTTGTGGTAAAAACATTATTAAATAACAATTATTATTATTATTATTGAAAAAATCCACAGGAGATTAGGCTCATCACGGCTTCTGTGGATTTTATCGTTAATAAATCACGACAATATGATTCCTCTGTGTATTATTATTATTATTATTATTATTATTATTATTATTATTATTGAACAAATCCACAGGAGCCGTGATGAGGGTTCGAACCTATGCGCTGGGTGTTCCCAGGCACGCTCTAGTCGACTGCCCTCCGACATGGTAGAAGAATTGCAGCCTGGGGTACTACTGGGGTTGTATGAAACGCCGGTTCGGCTTCAGTGAAAGCCTCGGGATCCTTGTGGGTGCAGTAGTACCCCAGGTTGCAATTATTTTACCATGTTGTGGCGCAGTCGACTAGAGCATACCTGGGAACGCCCTGCGCATAGGTTCGAACCCTCGTTACGGCTCCTGTGGATTTGTTCATTGATATATCACGATAATATGATTTCTCTGTTCATAATTATTATTGTTAAAGGGTATTCAGCAATCACTAATACGTTTTTTCTAGATTCATTTTCTTTAACCCATTTTCTTTGAATTAGGATTTTTTTTCTATTTTCTATCTGGAAATTATTATTTCCATAGCATTTTATTCCTTTATAGCTTTAGAAGTACGCTTTCTGCCTCATGCATTCTGTTCTTAGATTTAGATGCAAGCTCTCTGCATCAAGCATTTTGTTCTTTAATTTAGATGAAAATTTTCTGAATCATGGATATTTTTTTATTTAGATGAAAGCTCACTGCATCATGTATTTTATTCTAAGACTCCATATATATCACTATCATTCACATTATTATAGATCAAATCGCCTTCATAAAACTGACATAAAATAAAACTTTTTTTATCTACAGTACATTGTAGTTTTTCTACCACTTAGTAGATAGGTAGGGGTGTACTCATCTATCTGTAGAAGCAGGCTCGAACCTTAGCTCTTGGACCTCCGCAATTTCTAGCCTTTGGTTGTCTATTGCAATGACTCCTGACCTAGTTCCCTATCATATATACTTTTAAAATTTTATATAAAATATATTTTGACACACACTGGAGTGTGTCAAAATACAGGATCATTTCTATTGACTATGGCTCATTAGGGTACTCAATTTCCCCCCAAGTCCCCCTGTGTGAGGACCACCTGTGTTAACCTTTCATCTACCTTATCAATTCCCCTGAAAATTTTGCATGTGGTAATCATATCTCCCCTAAATCCTCTGTCTTCCAGCGACGTGAGGTTCAATTCATGTAGCCTTTTCTCGTAACTCACGCCTTGTCGTTCTGGAATAGTCTTGTGCTTGACTAGGTATCGTCTCCATGCCAGAGCCGCATACTCCGCGATTGGTCTGCCATGTGGTATACAATGTTCTAAATGATTTCTTAAACAAATTTCTAAAGACAGTTTTGATTTTAGCCAGCCTTACATACACCACTGATGATATCCTTTTTATGTGGGCATCAGGGGACGGGTTCTGTGTGATATCAGCCCCTGGTCCTTCTCTCTGTTCGTTTCATGAAGTTCATCTCCCATTTGTACCCTGTGTCTGGCCTCCTATTCCCTTCGCCTAGCTAAATTAATTTACATTTACTCGAGTTAATCTTTAGTAGCCATTTGTTAGACCATTCCTTCAGTTTGCCCAGGTCATCTTGTAACCTCTTGCCATGTTCCCCCTCTTAACCCTCCTCATAATGTTTGCATCATCAGTAAACATTGAGAGGAATGAGTCAATTCCCTCTGGAAGATCGTTTACATATATCAGAAACAAACCCTGTGGAACTCCACTGGTGACATCTCGCCACTCTGAGATTTCATCTCTCACAGTGACTGTCTTCTGTTGCTTAGGTACTCCCTAATCCACTGGAGTACTTTCTCTGTTATTCCTCCCTGCATCTCCAACTTACGCACCAGTCTCTTTTCGGGGGTACTGTGTCAAAGGCTTAATGGCAGTCTTAAAAATATGCAATCTGCCCACCCTTCTCTTTCCAGTCTAATTTGCATCGCCTGGCCACAGAATTCTATTAAACGTATGAGGCGAAATTTGCCATCCATGACCCCATGCTGGTAGTGTGTTACAGGGTTCCATCTCTCTTAGATGTTCTACCGGTTTTTTCTCACAATCTTCTCCGTCACCTTACATGGTATGCAAGTTAGGGGCCACTGGTTTGTGTGTGTCAAATGTTTGTTTGTGTGTGTGTGTGTGTACTCACCTAACTGTGCTTGCGGGGGTTGAGCTCTGGCTCTTTGGTCCCGCCTCTCAACTGTGTGTGTGTGTGTGTGTATGTATGCCAATGGTTTGTGTGAGTGTGTCAAAGGTTTGTGTGTGAGAGTGTGTCCAAGGCTTGTGTGTGTGAGTGTGTTAAAGGTGTGTGTGTTTGTGTGAGAGAGAGTGTGTCAAACGTTTGTGTGTCAAAGGATTGTGTGCGAGTGTCAAAGGTTTGTGTGTGAGAGTGTGTCAAAGGTTTGTGTGAGAGAGTGTGTCAAAGGTTTGTGTGAGAGAGTGTGTCAAAAACTAGTGTGCGAGTGTGTCAAAGGTTTGTGTGTGAGAATGTGTCAAAGGTTTGTGTGTGAGAATGTGTCAAAAGTTTATATGTGAGAGTGCGTATATACGAGAAAGCTAGATGTATGTATATGTGTGAGTGCAAGAGATATAAATATCCATATAAACGCAAGGCAGAAGCGTCGTGGCGTGCGTGCGGAGATGAGTACAGTACGAGTTACTCTACGAGAGAGAGAGTTTCGTTGCTCACCGGATGATACACAACCCACCACCACCAGTGTTCAGTAAGGACTGGTCACCTCACCACCAGCGAACCCAAACCACTTTCTCCCCCTTGTCCCGATCTCTGCCCTTAGCCCCGTCTTAGACCTCACCATGCAATTTCCTCAATAATCTTTGAAAAATCAGCTACAGAGACATTAGAAGAAACTTTTTCAGTCTCAGAGTAGTTAACAAATGGAATGCATGTGGTGGAGCCAGACTCCATGCACAGTTTCAAATGTTGATATGGTGAAGCCCAATATATTAACCTTAACCTTAAGGTTAAGGTTAATCTTAACAACCTTAACCTGGTTGTTAAACGATTCAGCGAGTTGTATTCCAGGGAAAATTTGGATTAATAATTTGCCCGAAACGTTATGCGTGCTAGTGGCTGCACAGGAATGTAAGAAATTTTGTATATATAAATAACAAAACAAAAAATATAGGCTCAGGAATCTGTACACCAGCTGATAGACTGACGGTTTAAGGCGAGGTTGGTCAACGATTAGGCTGATCTATGGTGAGAATGGTCTATTGTTAGGTTGGACAATGCTTAGGATGGTCAATGGTTAGGATGGTCAATGGTTAGGATGGTCTATGGTTATGTTGGTCAATGGTTCGGCTGGTCAGTGATTCGGATGGTCTAGTAAATGTAGTTCTTCGTTGTAGTGATGTGTAATGCTTTGTTGTAATAGTGAGTGATGTGCAGTGGGTAGTGGTCACTGTGAGGAAGATTGTGTGTAGTGAAGATCTGGCCTCCGTGTGGCACTGTATCAGAGGCTTTGCTAAAATCAAGGTACACAACACCTGTCCACAGGTACACCAGTCCACTATCAACTGCCTCAATTCTGCTGGAATGGAACAACAACAAATTTGTCAAACATTAGCGGTCCTCAATAAAACCATGTTGTGAATCATTTATTAATCTATTGTCACGGTAATCTCTCTAGGAAGAGATTCGGCCTGCTCCATCATCACCTATTCTATCATACCACATCTATATATTCAAGAACTGCAGCCACAAGAGCAACAACAGCTCTCAAAACGTCTAGACAGAATACCACCAGTCTACCTCCCCAACGGCCCATCACCCGCCTTTGCTTGAAGGTGATAATAGCTTGAGTTACCTCATCCCTTTGTGTGTATTTTAGTTCAATAAACTTATTTCAATTTCAATCACCCTCCTCACGCTTGGTGGCTGGAAGTTCACGCCACCGGTCGAAACAAGACGTTAAAGTGAGCAGGTTCCTAGTTATCGACGATACCAGCGCCACATGGACGGTCGTCGTTCCATATAAATAGAAGCCAGCCACCACCACGACAAGGGGGAGACATCTCCTGTCACGCAGGGTGTAGTCGCACCTCCACAGATCTCCAATATCAGCTAATGATACTGGTAATGTGTTAAGGGCCACCACTTACGGGCTATTCATCCCCGTGCCACCTCTTGGGTGGCTTAATCTATATCTTTATCACCACGATTCAGATTACTCCTGAGTGCTCTACTGGGTAGACCTGTTGACATCTCGGTATGGTAGCAGGTTTATGCAGTCTAGCTCATAGTATTCTAGCACCATATTTTATTTGCACACTAACGTAAATTTGATTGTTCATATTGTTTGTTTTGCACATGTTGTATTAGAGCCAAGCCTGGATATTATTTTTTGTTTTGAAGTTTGTTTAACGTCATTTTTATTAAGTAAGGTATTTTTAAATGTTTTTTCTCCTGTCTTATCCTACAGTTACCTCACAGTGAAGACAAATAGCAGTCTTAACTTTTTTTTTTTTTTTTTTTGTTTTATGTGACTGGCATTCCATCTGCCCTAGAGAGACTGCACTAACATCCATTTTCACGTCACACTATGTTTATCAAGAGGTTGACGAATAATTTTTGCAGTTATCGACTCTAGCAATTTCCCCACAGTAGATGTTAAGCTAATTGGCCGATAGTTAGACGTAAGTGATCTATCTCTATCTCTTAAATCTATGGTGATCTAAAAATTGGTACCAATTTTTAGTCACCATAGGTTTCATCTGATGAGCTCAGAGATAGAAATAGGAGTGGGAGGGAAGGTAGGGGTCAGTATCACTGTTTACGCACCCTCTCATTCACCTAGGCAGCTTTGTAATCTCCTTGGTTGATTTAGCTTCACGTTGGAGCTGCACTTGCAGCCGCTCCTTCTGCTGTGACTGCTGCTGCTGTTCTTGTCACTGCAGATCCTGAAGGTCAGCCACTGCTTGATCAGTTGAGTGAACCAAGGTCCGGTTGCTGGGGAAGACAGGCCGGTCTCTAGCATCCATCTCATCTTTGTCCTGTTGAGATATTTGCTGCTGTTCCTCAGTCTCCACTTTCGTTTGCCTCCCACACTAGGTGACCGTGTCCCTTGAACAAGGGAGTGGCCACTGTTGTTTTAGATTCAGTTACTCGGAACGAAAAGTTGCAAGTAGCACGGGCTATGGTGAGCCCGTAGTGTACTTACCTGGCACAGGAGAATGGCTGTAACGTGAGAGGCCATTCTTCTGAGTTGGTATTACAGTAGGGGTTCCAGTAGTACAGTCGGGTTCGTTCTCGACTCACAATCGAGAATTCCGGGTTCAAATCCTGGGTGAGACAGAAATGGTTGGGCATTTCCTATTACCTAATGCATCTGTTCACATAGCAGTTAGTAGGTACCCAGGAGTTAGTCAGCTTGTGGGGTTGCATCTTTGGGGGGGGGGGGGGAACTCGATATAAGCCTAAAGTGTATAAATACAATCTGGCTGCCTGCGAAGTATTAATTATATATAGACCTACATAGGTAATAGGAGGCACAGCTCCAGGTGGGAGTGATGGAACGAATGTAACAACAGGAACCTTAAGTCTGGCACCGATCGTCTTGTGCGCTTAGTAATTGACAGATGGTGTCGTGTTTGGAAGCCAGCTGGAGCGAACATCACGCTCAGATAGCTCTGAACAAACAGTTGGTGGCAATTTTTTTGCCGATTTTACAATACATATTACATAAAAATTGCGATGAACGCATTTCTAATAAAATATCCTGTTAAACTATTTAAATATCAAAATGTGCTATTTATAAAAGTGAAAAATTATTAATCAAATTCCGTAGTGTTTAGTGTTTGCGTAACCGGCTGGCAGAGGGAGACTCGCTTGACCTCCAGCTGGTTGCACCGTAAACATGGCCAGTGTCGTCGCCGCCGCTAAAATCATACCTTCTGGCTGTTTTGGCAATGTTTGTCGCCAGTTTGCTGTGAGTAATATCCGTTTATAGATACACGTGTTCAATATTAACGTTTCACAGTGAGTAGTTGAGGTTTTCGAATGTTAAGAGCCGAGAAATGACGGTGGCGGGCTGCGGCAGGTAGAGTTGGCTGTTGCTGAGAGAGGCGTAGTTATTGGTGATAAACCATATGTAGGTGGTAGGCACATAGGTTGCCTTCTATTTTGTTAGAAGGGCATATGTAGGTAAGGTAGGCTGGGGTCAAAAAGCCATAAGTTGTGCAGTTCTAAAGTCGTCGCAACCTAAAGCTAGCCAACTCTCACCTACCTTAGTCATCTGTGGGCTGCTTGGTCTTCCGGGCTTGGTGACATCTTTTGATAATTGGTTGGCAATCTTTACGTATGGTCAAATCGTAGTCAGGCATTTTGACAAAATTTCATCTCATAATTTAACAAACTGTGTTATTCTTTGGCTGGGTTGGGTAAGGTTATATGGGTTTTACGTTATAATATGTTTTGGGTATGTGCCCTCCATGTTTTGTTGGGTTATGCTGGATTGTTAATGCCATGTTAGATTGGGTTGCATTCAGCTAATCAGGATATAACTAAAAAATCATTTGAACTGTCTTTAGGGTGAAATGACCTTTTGATCTTTTTATTGTCCTGTGGCTTGTTGGAGCCCAACCAGTCTTTTCAAGTTGTACTTTTAAAGCAGACAATGAGTCACAATAAAGTGGCTGAAGATATGACCAACGACTTAATCATTTATGAATTGATAATGGTCCAGGACGGACCAAAACATCATTTCTTCATCTTCTCGTGTGTGGTTTGGTCATTGTAATTCTAGAATTAAACGGTGAAAACTACCCAGCCACATAGATCATCCTCCACCATCGTGTATGACAGTAGGTGGGATAGTAACACTCTACTTTGTAGTCGATGCTTTGTTACAGTTGTAGCTATTAAAGGTAAATATTGCACTTGAGATAGTTTACAAATGGATTTTAAGAATTACTTTACCTAATACAACCTAACCCAAGGTGACCTGTATTGCAATGGTCAGTATAGTTGGTTCTGGGTCAAATTGTCCTGGGTTTGATTCCTAGCAGAAAGAGTCATTTGGGTACATTCCTTAGACCTGATCCCTTGGTTCACTTAGTGAATAGACATCTGCAACTTGGGTAACTGTTATGGGTTGCATCCTTTGCTAGGTCAGTAGTTTGCCTAAAGGGTCCTTTGATAAGCTTGAATGCAGGCTTCCTATCTCTAACAGCGGGAATTAAATTGTTCAGTAATTCTTCGTTTTAGTTTAAAAAGTTATATAATAATTTTATTATACAGTATTGTATTCTTATATATTGTTCATGTGACAGGTGCGCTCGCAGAGCACGGCAGCTGCTGCTGCTCCACAGGCAGTGCCAGAGAAAAGATTAAAGAAATTTTCTGTCTACCGTTGGGATCCAGAGAAGCAAGGAGACAAGCCCCATATGCAGACATATGAGGTGGATCTGAATTCGTAAGTAATTTTATTTTCATAAAACTAGAGTTTGCATTTTGCAAAAAAAAAAAAAAAATTACAGTATGCACTAGTTTTTAACTTGGAAGCATAATGGGAAGAATGTGTTTAAACAGTTATCCAGCAAAATATTGAATATATATCCCTTTTTCCTATTGTGCACAAAATCATGTTCTATCAATTTTGCTAATAAAGAGAATGTTTGGTAGAAAATGAGAAACAAAACATAATTCAGATATAAAACAAAAGTTCTTTTGCTGTAGATGAGGTCCAGCTTGAATCTGTTCATTCAAGCTGGAATTCCAACCTGCTGAGAGGTTGGAATTATTCTATTAAACTGGAATAGCGCACCACATTTTGGTGTATAAATTGCCTATGGCCAAAAATTTATGTACTAAAAATCATGGCAGTTAGCAAAATTGATGTGATCTGTTTCTTATTCATGGTTCCTTGTTAGGTTAGGTTTGGGCAATTTAGTAAATCGCTTTAGTGACCAGTGACGTAAATGCTCGAGAGAGTGGGCTGGGAATTCGCTGTACAGTACAATACTGGTAGTGTGAAGTTTCTTGTCTGTAGAGCGTGCAAAGATTCGTTACTGCTAGAATCCACTCTATAAAACGCCTAAATTATTGGACCCGATAAAAGACTTAAATCTGTATTCTCTAGATCACGGTAAGAGAGGCATAATAATTTACACTTGGAAGATATTAGAGCAGGATACTGGTTCCAAATCTGCCCATATAAATAGCATAACATGAAACCAATAGACATGGCAGGATGTGGAAAATAGCCAATTGAAATGCAGAGGTGCAGTTGGTATGCTGAGAGAGAACTCTATCAACATCAAAGGCCCAAGACTTTTCAATACTTGCCCTCTACACATAAGGAGCATAACTGGCTTGCCCCTCTGTGTTCAAGAACTTGATAAACACTAAAGAATTCTTGATTGACCTGGCTGTGATTAATTCATCAGGCTGCAGGCAGCTGTATCAAACAGCCTAATTAACCAGACCACCAACCAGGAGGCTTGATCAGAACTGGGCTGTTGGGCCATTGATCCTCAGAATTGCCACAAGGTAGGTAGGTAGCCTTAATCATTGCAGATAATCATATTAGTGCAGTGCAGTGTGTACATCAACTTGGAATCGAGGTTACTAGGTTAAATCCACGGGCAGAGTAGGAAATGATTGGTCATGTTTCCTTTCACCTTGGCGTTTGGCATGTTTAATTTCATCTGATTCCTCTGTTCATCTAGCAGTCAATAAGTAGGTACCTGGGAGTTGGACAATTGTAGGTTGCATCCTGGGAATGATTAGCAGTTGACCAAGTGGGACCTCAAAGCTTCCTGTTCCTGACACTGGGAATTACTGCTATACTATACAGAAAAGCAGGAAAAAAGTTGAGTGGTAATTTGAGAAAAATTATTAATGCACCATGTGGGTTTTTAGTGTACGAAGGATACTTTAGTTATTCAATCTGTGTTTTATGAATATAGAACTTTAGTAAATTTATGTATTTTCAGGTGTGGTCCCATGATTTTAGATGCTTTGCTTAAAATCAAGAATGAAGTTGATCCATCATTGACCTTCAGAAGGTCGTGTCGAGAGGGCATCTGTGGTTCATGTTCCATGAACATTGGAGGAGTGAACACGCTTGCTTGCATCAGGTAGGAAAATAAATGTACAGTATTGTTTCTCAATCTCGACTGTCATGTCATCATTTATCTTTTTGGAGATTTTGCTAAAACTGAATTGTGGAATAAATATCCAGTATTTCTTTTAATGGTCTAATTCAAGTTCTTGACTTTGTGTATACACTCCTGTGGTAGTTTGGGATGCTGGGTCCAAATAGATTTTGCACAGACTCCAAAGCACCAGTAGTTTGAGAATTGTCCATACCCCAAAAGATTCCCGTCCTGTTCCCCAGATTGAGAGCCCTTGGGTTTAGAACTCATCCTCTAAAATAAATTTTTGGGTTAAAAAAATTTTGTGTTTGACTTATTAGGCATTATTAATTTTCTGTTCAGGTATGCAAGCTTTTAATACAACTTTTCTTAATTCCAATTGGATGCTAATTTATTAGTTTTTAATTTTCAGTAAAATAGACACAAACCTGAACAAACCAACAAAAATATACCCATTGCCACATATGTACGTCATAAAGGACCTGGTTCCCGATATGAATAACTTCTACGAGCAGTACCGATCAATCCAACCTTGGTTGCAGCGAGGCGATGGACTCGAGCCCGGTGATCAGCAATATTTGCAATCAGTAGACGATCGCAAGAAACTGGTTGGTCATTACAGATTTTTACTTGCTTCATTGTTAATGGTAATATTGAAAGTGTGTTGATAATTAAAGTTATTTTTCTTTAATGTTTATTTTAGAGGTGTACTGATTTATTGGTATGAGTGGGTATTGGCATACTTTTGTAGTACTGTATCAGTTTCTATAAAATTTCAGCCAATAATAATACTTTTTGTTTTGTCTTTTGTGGGGGGGGGGGAGATGTCCCTCTTCTCATGGAGCTCCCTGAAGCTATCTTGCCGAGATTGATGAGACCTTTTAGTATGGAGCAGTCACAAGTTCTGTTTGGCCTACTGGGACTAGAGCCAGAACCTCACCCCCTCATAGAGGTGCAGAGAGCAGGTGACACTCCACCACATCACTAGAATAAGCTCCCAGAAAGTTGCCACAGCTTTGCAGACAACTGAAGAGTTCACAGAAAATGAATCCTCGAAACTCCCAAACAACTCTGCTAATGATTCACACAGAACAAGATTCACTTAGACTAGCTCGAAATGATTTGGTATCGAATACAACCACCAGATGGCCCATACCCAGCCCCTTGGTTGGCTTCCCTGATTAGTTTTGTTACTGATGATGCAGCAATTAGGGCTGCCTTTAGTGCTTCTGTTTCTTCAGATTATGGGCAAGTCCCTCTGCTTCAAACTAAGTGCCAGCCATTCTTGGACGTTGTTGTCCTACAGGGGCCATTTTTGTGTATTCTTTCCTTATTTTGGTAAAAGCATCACGTGCATGTTTTAGTTCTGGGTTGTGGACTTGGCTCTTGTGTTTTTGGCTGCATATGCTTGGGTTTTTTCTTCCTTGTGCCCATTAACACTGCCCCTGCACAGAGTTCTCTTTTCTGGTGTGTTTGGGGGTTTGCCCCCCTGAGAGGCCTGGCCATCAGGGTGGAGAGCCTCGCCTTGAGCTAATCATAGATCATTGATTCTTCTGTTTTGTCCATTGGCTGGGGGCATTCTTTTGTTGTCCTTGGGCACACTGGGGTTCATGTGCCTGTTTATATGGCATGCTGCAGTCACCACTCATTGCCTGGTTGCTGTTGGTGACTGTTTTAGCAAGTGGCGAGTGTCTGGTGTGCTTGCTTGGTTAACATTCTTCAGGCCCAGGTAATTCTACTGCAATGTTTGTTTGGTCCTTGTGGATCACCCCCACCAAATGTGCATTTGCTCCAGAGGCATTTCATTACATTCAACACTGGGTTTTTTGCACAATGATTCATTCCACTTCTATATGACAAAAAAAATATTAAATCATTATGGCTATGGGTCAAAATATTGGTATCGGTACACCTCGAGTATATTTACGTTTTTTGTGTGTGGTAGCTTAGGTTCTTTATAAAATATTAAATTTCTCTTGCTTATTTACAAATTAGGATGGCTTGTATGAGTGCATCCTATGTGCATGTTGCTCCACATCTTGCCCTTCATATTGGTGGAATGGAGATAAGTACTTGGGACCAGCTGTACTCATGCAGGCCTACCGTTGGATCATAGACTCGCGTGACGAAAAATCTGAGGACCGTCTGAAGAGGCTACGGGATCCCTTCTCTGTGTATCGATGTCACACCATCATGAATTGCACAAAGACATGTCCCAAGGTTTGAAATTATGATTTTTTGGGGATGGGGGGGGTTAAACTCGAAGGTCTGTATTCTAACGATTTTTAAATGGGTATTCCCAGTAGTGAGGCCTTGATGAATTTATTGGTAGGTATTCCTAGTAATAATGCCATAGAATACTGGCATACCAAATACTAGACATGTCAAAGAGAGATGAAAATCTTGTTCATAGCTTTAGGAAGAAACAAAATAGTAGGGCCAATTTAGTTGTAGGACAGGAGGATAATACATTTTTTATTTTAGTTTTTATGGGTCGTTTGAGATTTTGGAAGAAGGGGTTAGGTTGACAACATATATCTGAACCTTTAATGGGCATTCGATAAGTCATCCACAAGAACATGTTCCAGATGATAAAGCAGATAGGAGTAATGGAAAGACTAATGGTATGGTTAGAAAGTACAAAGATAAGGGCAGTAATTAAAGGATGTTAGTGAAATAGGAAGACTGTCACTTCAGCAGGACAAAGTTTTCACAGTACAGTACTGTAATGCCCAGAAAGCCTCGGCAGAATACTTGTCTGTGATGCTCATTTAGACAGCCAAGAACAGTTGGATTGTGATGTTTGCAATTACTTGCATATTTTCTCCATTTAGATACTTTAATATCACTCATGCTATGTCTTTGCCCTCATATTCATTTCATGAGAGATTTATGATATCTGACTCTTGCAACACACATGATGCTAAATAGTCTTTCCTGGCTCGGTGCCTCCTTTTGATAATTACTTACCTTCTCTCCAACAGGGACTAAATCCTGGGCTTGCTATTGCTGAAGTGAAGAAGCTTTTATCGGGTATTGCCAAGAAAGGAGAACCAGGTATAGATGCCTTGGGAGCCAACTAACCCTGAACACAGAGAAATATTAGCCATACAAAAGGACATTGTGATTGAGCCTCCCTTAACATAATGACAAATATCCATTAATATTACTAAAGTAGAGGATCTGAATTTACTGTTGTGTGTTCAGTAAAATTTGCAAGAGAATTTTAAGATGAATGCATTTATTTTTAGCAAAAAACGTACATTCTTTGTCTGTTGGAAAATGATATACAGTACATAAGCTTTGATATATCTACCTGATGCTTTAAATGTGTGCTATAAAAATAAAATGCAGTCCAATGATGTATGGGTTATAAATTATAACAAGAAATTAGATATAAAATTATAATGAATTTGCATGATAACTACCGTAGTGACACAGGTGTATATTTTACACTGTGTATATGCCTTCAGTGCAGCACACACACAAAGTGATCAGTGAAGATCTTGCTCTCGTGTAAACGTGTATATTGCTACTATTCAAAATATTTCTGGCGTGTATATATTTGTGGGATAAAACTTAATAAATATTAGTGCAAAATAATTTTTTTCTTGAAAATTATCCTTATGGTATAATTTGTCCAGTAGTTTTAGAGCAAATTACTAGCTGCAACTTTACAGTTTGATGCATTCTGTAATACATACCGAGAAATACATTCTAGTACAAAACGTAGAGGAAATGTTTCCTTTGTTATTTTGACTTTCATGCTTTATATCTCTATTTATCCCTTGCCTAAATTCACCACACCTTCCCTCTTGCCTTATACTGTATTGACTTCCTTCACCACTTTTTTCCTTGACACGACTTTAGGGTCCAGGATGGACTAAGATGCTGTCAACTTTTAGATGCTGGCAAATTTATCTCTCTGCTTTTGTATTGATATACCTAGGAACTTGTGAATGTTCTGTAACTGGTGTAAAGTCTTCTGGGCTTGATGCTTTTTGATTATTTGCAGCAAACAGGTTTTCTAATAAAATAGCAAAAAATTGCATGGCTTTGGGGATTCCTTAAAGCATGCCAAAGTGGGTACTGAATGGATTTATCTCGCTCTAGTATGCGATGCTTTAGAATATCTTGAAGCAACAGTTTCATAAAATACTTGGTATGCAAATATACTCTCCATGCTACGTAAGCAATACTGACCCAGGTTAAAGCTCTGGGTACACTTGAATACAGATCCTTAAAAGTTTGACCTTGTTCATCTAGAAGTAATTGGAGACTTGTAGATTGGCACACTATGTTCTGCCTCTACCAATGGGTATTCCCACAAAATACGTAGTTAAGCACTACTGTACACAATCAAATGCAGATAGTATTTTCTGGCAGATGGGATTCTTGTTTGTTCCACTACTGATATATATATATATTGTATTTGCATGCCCAAAACAGTGTTTTCTCTTACAAAATCACTGAAATTTCAGATAAAATATACTCAAATATTCCTTTTCTATAAAATATGCTTGTAAATTAGGTGTCATATAGGTCGATATTGTGTTTCTTGAAACAGCATATTTTATATGGAACAACAATCAAATTACAAAAGAACCTTAAATGGATACATTTAAAGAGCTGATAATGATGATGACAAAACACAAGGTGCACAAAACCTTACAATTAATCCTTCTCAGATTATTCTACATACTGGAAGGAATCCTACCATGGTGATGTCAGAGTACAGTTCAATGTTCCATCAGGTATGGTTTTGGTATGGCATTCCTTATAAGAAATTGGTATTCGGAGTATGTTCGTATTGCCCTTGAATATGGTGTATTCCATAATGGATCCTACGTGTAGACAGCGAAAATGTCTTAGACCAATGATACTGTATTAAAGTTATAAAATAGGGACAGCTACAGCACAATATATTTGTTTCCTTGTTGGGGAAAAAATGTACAAGCTTTAGAGGGTATTCGTCGTCTATTGGCGAAAATACTATTGTACTGTGCATTATGGCAGATAAACACTGTTTGAGCATATGCTTGATGACCTGATGACCACACTTAATATTGTACAAATGTTCAAATTCACTCAAACACTGGTGCCAATCAAGACTGGGGAAGGTGTCGGTATGTAAACTATTGTGTGCATCCCTGGTGACCTAGGACGCAGGTTCAATTCCACCATCATACTCTGGAGAGTTTATTGCTTCAAGCTTACACAACTGGTGTCCTCATGACAACCAGCATCCGCAATTGTCTTGCATTGCTAATGGCAGTGACTCATTGAACCTTAACAACAGTTAGAACATAGTGTAAATATTCTCAAAACTGGCCACAGGTAAACCAAAAATTCCCTGGCTAGCCTCAGCCACTGTTGGCCTCCCAAGGAGCAAGTCTACCTGATCTTTGATTAGCTGATACTGCTTATCTCATACTTAGGCCAATCAAAGAGTGTCACACGTCATCTTACTTCTCATTAGTCAGTGGGAGAGGTTCTTGAATGCCTATCTAGCTCATGTTTATAATCCAAAGAGTAATACATTATGATAAATAAAATATGACAACCTTAACTACATTACGTCATAGTTGACAATGATTTAAAAGTGGGCAAAGTAAGTCGAGACATGAATGCTGAGTCAGTGTGTGATTAGGATGACCTGCAATGTGGCCTAAACAGTCTGGCACTCGAGTGCCAGACTCGACACATGTATGTATGTATGTATCACTACAATTTTTCAGGTTTGCTTTGTATAAATATATGGATACATCTGTAAAACTACGAGTAATATATCAATCATTAAATCATTATGTATTACAGTATTATGATATGAGCTGTCTACATGTTTGTTTAGTCTATGAATAGCCACACTGACCAGAGGGAGGGGCCCATTTAGCTGTTTTGGTCTAGGGCCCCAAAAAAACAGATCTGGCCTTGAATTAGACACCTTTTAATAAAAATGTATAATTCATTGTGTCGGGGAACAGGCAGCCAGTGTATTCATACACGTTAGGCTTTAATCAAGCACCTCACCCCCACAAGGTCGTATTACTGACCCCGCCCAGGATGCAACCCCATAACAAGCTGACTAATTCCTGGGTATGCATGAGTAAAGAAAGAAATGTATATGTTTATCACTCAGAATGTTCGGTAATATACTTATTGTTTGTGATGTGTGTTTATATATTCAAGGTGAGAATACCTTGAGCTACCTCATCTCTTTGTATGTATTTATACCTCAATAAACTTATTGCAATTTCAATTTCAATTCCTAAGTACCTACTTACTGCTAGGTGAGCCGGGACGAACCTGACTGTACTACCGAGACCCTTTTGTGGCTTACATCCTGGGGATGTGTGTGTGTGTGTGTGTGCAATTCATAGTAGATATGTGCTTTTCCAAACTGGTAGTTGAAAAGGCAGAGGGTCTAAATGGGTAGACATCAGTTCTTCTCTTCGTTCTATACTAGCGCCTATCCTGTCCTCATCCCAGCTCCTATCCTGTCCTCATATCCCAGCTCATATCCTGTCCTCATATCCTGTCCTCATATCCCAGCTCCTAGCGACTTCTCCTGATAATTAACTATCCACCAACAGTTATTGCCTCACATTGATATACTGCGAGACAGACAGAGGAAGTCCTGATCCCTCTGTGTCAGAAGAGGAAACCAAACTAACACACAGGCTCCCCACACACACCTCAGAGAGCAGTCTGTGTGCGAGTCACAGAGCTTCACTTAGTTAATGGTTTAGTGTGTGTGTGTGTATGTGTATGTGTATATGTATTCACCTAGTTGTGCTTGCGGGGTTGAGCTTTGCTCTTTCGAGCTACCTCTCAGCTGTCAATCAATCAACTGTTACTAACTACTAACTAATATTTTTTTCTCCACACACACACACACACACACACACACAAGGACGCAGCTCCGTAACAGCTGCCTAATTTCCAGGTACCTATTTACTGCTAGGTAACAGGGGCATTCAGGATGAGAGAAACTTTGCCCATTTTTTTTTTGTTCTGTCTGATCCGGGAATCGAACCCGGGCCACAGAATTACGAGTCCTGTGTGCTGTCCACTCAGCTACCAGACACCCTGTAGTGTATGTGTGGGTGTGTGTGTACTCTCCTAATTGTACTTGCCTAGTTATGCCAGGTGAGTAAAAGTTGCTCACTGTGTGTATGTGTGTGTAATTATGTTAATGGCTTTTATTTCGTGTGTCTCTTTGTGTATGTATGTGTGTGTATATTTCCCTGGGTATGTATAGTATATACACGTATACGTACAATAATTATAATTCCTGTCGTTTGCTGGGGACAGGAATCCTGTAATTAAGTTTCTATTGAGGTACTTCCTTGGGTGAACTACTGACCTCCCCAGGATGCAACCCACAACAGTTGCCTATCTCCAAGGTACCTATTTACTGCTAGATGAACAGATGCATCAGATGAAATGTAACGTCCCCAACAGTCTCCACCCCCGCCTGGGGATCGAACCCGTGATCCTTGGACGTGAGTCGAGAAGGCAGCCCACTTGTGTTAACCAAAGCATTGTATTTGTGGCCAGTTCTGTTCTATAAGGTTTGTGTGGAGTGTGTGAGGGAGGCAGATGACCTCTCACCTCTGTAATTACCTCACAGTTGCAAGATAATGAGAATTATCTCCATTATGCGTCCGGGAACAGTTCTCCTCGCTCTAAGAACAAAATTGCTAAGGAAGCGGTTTGTTTAATGTCACAACCACCACTGCTACTCACACCACTATTACCAATACTTCTACTACTACCACCATCACCACTATCACCACCACTACTACTCACACTACTATTACTACTATTACCACTACTACTACCACCAACACCACTATCGCCACCACTATTACTCACACTACTACAAACACTATCACCACCATTACCACCACTACCACCAATACCACTATCACCACCACTACCACCAATACCACTATCACCACCACTACCACCAATACCACTATCACCACTACTACTACTCGCACTACTACCCACACCACTATCACCACCACCAACATTGTCACTACCACCAACAACCACCACCACCACCACCAGCCTGGGTGATGATGTCACCCCACACAAGAGAGAGTATCCGGGTGTGGGACACAAGTCGCCAGGTGTGCGCCCCTCCCCACACTCCTCATCTACATCTACATCTACATCTACACTCTCATTCCACTCTCCTATACACGCCAATCATTTATATCTATATACAATACAAAGTTTGTTTTTTAATTCATGGGGATTAAATGGTGCATTCCTGTTGTCTGGGACAGGAAGCCTGCGCCTTGTGTTATCATGGTTCCCCTCTAGGATGACTACTCATCTTCCTCAGGATGCAACCCACAACAGTTGTCTAACTCCTCGATAAGTATTTACTCCTAGATGAATAGATGTATTAGGTGAAGGGAAACATGCCCAACCATTTCTGTACCGCCCCGGGATCCTCAATTGTGTGTCCAGAACGTAGGCACTGTACTACTAAGATCCTATATGTGGTTAAGGCAGTTTGCTCGCATCCTCTGGACCCGAGTTTCATTCACTGACACCTGATACCTCTGTTCACCTAGCAATGAATAGGTACCTCGGAGCCAGGCAACTGTAGTGGGTTGCATCCTGTGGAAGTTCAGCCATTGGTTGACATAATACAATGATGCACAAACTGTCGATTAACTTGACAGCTTTTGCTGCGACAGGCATTAACGATTTTAATGAACATTTTATTTATTTTTATGTACCTCTATATGTATAAGAAGGTACTGTAGTGCCAGTACAGGTGTTGGTGACTGGTGAACTCTGGCAGTCACTGGCAAGCAGTGCCACCACGTCATATGAAGTGGCATTTCCCCTTTTTCACCCGTAGGGTTATAAACACATGGAACAGCCTACCCGCTGAAGCCGTAAACGCCAAAACTCTGTTGGGTTTAAAAATACAACTGGAATAGATCATCAGGGCAAATGGGGGGATCTTTGACAAGCCACCGGCTTCCTGTCCTCCTCGTGGCCACTAGTATTAGTGGCCTCAGGTAAATATATATATATATATATATATATATATATATATATATATATATATATATATATATATATATATATATATATATATATATATATATATATATATAAAGGCTCTGGAAAGTCTGACGTACTACTGTCTAGAAAATAATAAAAAAATCTGCAATTCATACTGAATCCATAATCACTGCTGTTCTTGTGTAGCAACTACAAGTAAGCATTAACGCTCGCATATAAAACAGACATGAGGTAACCGATCTTACCAGCCTATATCGACGAGCATGTCATTGTTCCTTAATGATTGATGTTAGTGAAGGAATATATGGGCAAGGAAGCCGCCCTTTATGAATGGAAGCCCAGGGAGTGACTCACCCCGGGTCATGACGTCATCCCTGGGGGGATCCTTCGACCTCTCCCCACCCCCCAATATGGGGGAAATAGGGTACATTTAACAATGATAACTTGCGGGTTTATTCATTTTGTCTCGAGTACAGTGAAGTGAGTCAGATTTGCATCCTCGGAACTCATGTCACGAGACTGGTGATGTTCTAGAGTCTATTTTGTGACGTTGTGAACATTGGGGTGTCTGCAAACAATAGATCTTTAAATTTTTTAAAGATAATAACCTGATTGTCCTTAATACATAGTATTAGTTCAGAATACGTATGGAAGTCGCATTTAACCTCCATGCTTTTGTTTAGTTTTCTATAGTTTGTTGTTGGATTCAGTCGTCTATAGTAACTGTTGTATATCTGACATTATTGGAACGTAGTTTTGGTCATGACAACATGGCGCTCAATGGGGAAAGGTCAGCCCTCTCTGGGCTTTCCGACCTCAGAAAAGAAAAGGCAGAGGAAAAAGAGAACCTCTGGTAAGTTGTTTAAGAGTTGGGTGTTTATTATGGCCACAGGCGGGCGACGGATCCCGGTTATAGTGAAGTTTGAGAGGTAGGAACAAAGGTTGTGGGAGCGGTCTTGTTGACATTCCAGCAGTTGTGAACATCTGAATTCTTAATTTATGAGATTTCTTCTTCGTAAATCTCCTCGTGTTAGTATTGTGCGAGGATATTGGTGTGAGGTGAGAAGTGTGGTGTGGGAGGGAGGTGGTGGTAGGTGGGTGTGTCAGTGTGGGGGTGAGTAATGAGGATGTGAGGCCGGGCCAGACCCACCCTCACCGCCCACCTGTCATGCCTTCCGTGTACTGTGTGAGGGACGTTTAATGAGGATGTGAGGCCGGGCCAGACCCATCCTTACTGGCCACCCACACTTCCCACTTGTCATGTATCTCTACATGTACTGTGAGGGTGTGAAACCAGATCAGACCCACCCCTCATTGACCCCCTGTCATGTATCTCCACCTATACTGTGAGGGTGAGAGGCTAGGCCAGACCCATCCTCACTGCCCACCTGTCATGTATCTCCACCTGTACTGTGAGGGTGAGAGGCTGGGCCAGACCCATCCTCACTGCCCACCTGTCATGTATCTCCACCTGTACTGTGAGGGTGAGAGGCTGGGCCAGACCCACCCTCACTGCCCACCTGTCATGTATCTTCACCTGTACTGTGAGGGTGAGAGGCTGGGCCAGACCCACCCTCACTGCCCACCTGTCATGTATCTCCACCTGTACTGTGAGGGTGAGAGGCTGGGCCAGACCCACCTTCACTGCCCACCTGTCATGTATCTCCACCTGTACTGTGAGGGTGAGAGGCTGGGCCAGACCCACCCTCACTGCCCACCTGTCATGTATCTCCACCTGTACTGTGAGGGTGAGAGGCTGGGCCAGACCCACCCTCACTGCCCACCTGTCATGTATCTCCACCTGTACTGTGAGGGTGAGAGGCTGGACCAAACCCACCCTCACTGCCCACCTGTCATGTATCTCCACCTGTACTGTGAGGGTGAGAGGCTGGGCCCGACCCACCCTCACTGGTCACACTTACTGGCCCCTCCTCCCCATTGTCATGCATCACGGCCTGTACAGTACTGTGAGGGTATGATGCTGAGCCAAACAAACCCTCACACCCTCCTTTCCCACTCCCCTACCGGCAACTCTTTCTCCTATACTTTCAACTTCTACAGGTCATTAAGCTACATAGTCTTCTCGGCTTGGTGCCATCTTTTGATAATTGCTAACTGGTTATTATTAAGAAATATTGATGAACTGCCTGAAATATGTTTGCATTTTTTTAACTGGATAGCAGCTTTTATCAGTTAGATCCAGAGCCTATGCCAGCATGAACATTATTGCACCATAGTGATGTCTCGCATCTTGTGCACAGTAAATTTAGTCACTGACTTTTATTTTTGTTAAGTTAGGTTTGTTTTAAAGAGTAGTGATGATGTAGACAAGCCAAATGTTGCTCATGTCCTAGACCCTACTTGGTTGTGTGTTGCCTCATTTCTAATTTCTCCACCTGTAAACTGAAGAACTAATCTGGTGAAATTGACTAAACTCAGGCATGATTACCTAGTTAAAAAGAGGATTGCTAATAAGATGCAATCCACAGTAGCATGGGTAACATTTCATTTGCTTGGATCATTGATGATCTTAACTCAAGCCTCAAAATACAAGACTGGGTGTCCTGCCAACTGGGGCAGGGATGCTCACTATAGGAAAAATTCAAAAGTGTGTAACTGGTACCAAGACTTTTAAACAGATGGCAAGCTTTGAGATGCATCTTTAAATCATGGGGTAGCTTACAGCACATCGAATACAGTGATAGAAAATGATTGGTTGCTTTGGGAGATGTTTATAGTAGGATATTGTATTTGTCGTATTTGCCAGTGGATCGGATGTGCATTTTTGGTCCATCGCCAACAGTGTATAAAGTCATACGTTTTTACCTACAAAGTCAAGTGAAAATCACTTTAAATATATGTACTGTACAAGTATAATGAAACATTAACAAAATATTCAATATCCTTATACTGTATATAAAAATAGGCATCTTGTATGTTGGAAAATATGGTAGTTTTAAAATTTTAAATTATGAATTTAAATTAAGTGGAAAAGATTAATCCTTGACAAAAATATTCAAATTTATCTTCAAAATGGCATCTATTTAGATATTCATGCAGTTGTATTGAAGATGGTGTTTTTGCAAGTCTCATGTTGTCTGTATCCAATTTTACATACAGCCTTTTTATTTCCTATTCCGTAGGGTGGCTGCTTCTCGCACTAGATAGCATGGTTAACGTGTGCGTTTACTTGATGACATTCCCCATTCCTGTCTACTAAATTTAAACTTGTATAAAAAAATGTAATTTTTATTGTTGATAAACTTTGTGTGCCTAGCTGGAAATGATGATACAGTATTAGTTGTGTTTGAAAAGTGGATCCTATTGAGAAACAACAAGCAGTGCATACTCCCTAAGGTCACTTGCATGCATCCTGAGGCTGCAATCACAGCCTGGTTAATCAGATACCATACAGAGGTGTTTTAACAAGTTCTGTCTTATATGCCTTAATGCAGTTTAAATATTTCTTTGACATTTAAATGTAACTATCAAAACAGTTGAAAAATATGAAGACACACATCTTGTGATTTTAAGTAAATTATCATTCATGCTAAGTTTAGATTTTTTAAGATTGTTTCCTGAATTCGAAGTTAAATTTGCAGTTAAGATAATAGGATTATACACAAAGAAACCACGATAACGTGATCTATGAGAGTCTTCAGAGCAGGAAGGCTGGCTCAATCCTGCCATCCTGCTTCAAAAGAGTTTCTCAATAGGATTTTAGTTTTGATTTGCATGTACCTTTGAGAATGTGTAACCTGCTTTGCATGTGCAGTATTCACTATATTAATATTTTTTTTTTTTTTTTAGGAAGAAGATCTTAGGAGAGGTTCAATCCAGCGAGCGCAATAAGTTACCGTCTTGTAAATCAGTCCTTGTGCTTGGTAAGTTTGAAGAGTCTCATTATTGGGGAAAAGTAGCCTGTACTTTGGCTTATTGGGGTCATCCTAGGCCAACTAAGGGTCTCGGGAGTACAGTCGGGTTCATTCTCGATGCACAATTGAGAATTCCGGGTTCGAATCCCGGGCGGGACAGAAATGGTTGGGCACATTTCCTTTCACCTAATGCCGCTGTTCATCTAGCAGTGAGAAGGTACTTAGGAGTTAGTCGGCTTGTAGTGGGGATTGCATCTTGGACGAGGTCAGTAATTCAGCCTTGGGGAGGCTCTCCATAAACGCCAAACATGTATGAATATACTCTGGCTTCCTGTCTCCCGACACTATTACTGTATTATTTATTATCATTATTATAACTACCTGTGCTGACCATACCTAGGATGCAACCCAGAACAATTGGCTAATGCCCATATGCTTATTTTTCTACTAGGTGAATAGAGACCTCGGGTGAAACAAAATGTAACCAACCATTTCTGTCATGCTTTGGGATCAAACTTGAAATCCTTGGTTGTGAGTCGAGGTTGAAGACCACTGTATTGCAGGACTAAATTAGTGATAAAATGACTGGCTGTTATATAAATATTTCATTCAAAATGATCTGCTACCAGAAATTTTAGCCAAATATCCCCAGTTTGCTAACTGTAGGTAGTAACTAATTGTAACCTATCCACTGCTGTCCACTGGATGGGGGGCGGTGTGCAGGACAAACATATCATTTGTGACACTAGCTCTCCACACGTCAGTTGCTTAATTTAGAAACTGTACTTGTGGTCGATCTCGAACCCATTTATGATGTGACGACTTGTACTGAATTTTGTAACTAGTTCATCAAGATTGTAACTTGCTTAGCTAAAAATGAATTGTGGGGTTTAGTCCCTGAGCCCATTATGTGCCTCTGTAACCCTTTCCGCTACTGCCCCTCAAGATGGGTATGGGGTGCATAATAAATGAACTAAACTATACTAAAAACTATTATGATATAATTTGGGGAGGAAAGAGACAAGAGCCTCTGAAATATTTCAGCTTATTCAGCGCGAGAGGTACATCTGTGCTGTACCCAGCAAAGGCGTCAATTTAACAATCGGAATGGAATTTAGATGGAGATGTTCCATGTTGTGATGCCATTCTTTTCCTCTTCAGAACATTTTGATGGAGAGAATGGCATTATTGTACTGGGACTACATAAGGTTTATAAGCATTTAAATTAACTTTTAAATGTTAATCAACACCTTGGGCAACACCTTGGATTCCACTCTGAATCCAGAGTTTCAGCAACAGAGCCAGATACACAGTATACTGTTTGGGTAAATATAAATAGGAGCTGCCTCAAATTGGGCAGTATGCCAGTTCTTAAATTTTGGTGATTGCAAGCCCCCAACAGGTTACCCAATATGTCCCTTTGCCAGACCGTCAAAATCACCACCACCAATTCTATTAGGTATCAGTATGACTTCAGAAGATGTCAGTGTTTGGTTTTACTTTACGAATGAATAGGTAAGAACAGAACAACTGAAAGAATATCACAAGGACTTGATCATTTTGTACAGGTTTGTAATTCAAATAAAAATTAGAATTACAAATTTTGTGTAATTGTTTAGAGATAGTCCCATACTCTTGTTATTTGTTTCCTATGCCCCTGACTAAGAATTCTTGCAATAGTCCTCCTGCAGGTGCCTGTATTCATAGCTTATACAAAATAGTTCCCCAAGCTTAACTTGTGCTCATGCATAGTGATGTTTCACAACAGTATTTTACAAAGATTTACCTATAGTCTAACTTAATTCAAGAATAAATGATTCAAAGTTTCCGATATTATTGGGCCATTTTGTGTGTTTGTGTTTATGGTACCCTACGATAATTTATTGATTATACTTTATAAAGTACAGTTTTATGCTATGTTATATGTAATGTATGAATTACATGTCAGTGATTGTGTTGTTGCTAATTGCTCAGTAATTAGGTTGATAAATATATTTTAGTATATTCATTATATTGCTCATGATAAGCAAGAACATCTATATTTTCTATTTCTTTGTAGAGACCTGTCACAGATAGTTATAGTTATTAATGCCATTTTGTTTACTTAACAGGTGAAAACGAATCGGGTAAAACGACTCTAATTGCGAAATTGCAGGGTAATGAAGATCCAAAGAAAGGCTCTGGTCTAGAGTATGCATATATAGATGTTAGGGATGAATATAGAGATGGTAAGTTTGATACTGATATTATTTGAGCTTTCTTGTTGATATTAAATTAAATTTGAATGTTGCAGAGAATGTTGCAATAACGTGGCTGAAGCAAGTAGCCGAACCCACACATGTGAAAAGAACTGGAAGTGACAACATTTTGGTTCATCTTGGACCCTTAAGTTCTGACGGGTCCAGCATGGATTGAAACATCGTCATTGTTGTCATTTCTTTTCGTGTGTGGGTGGGGTTATTTGAATGTTGCCGGTTTGATATATGAACATTTGGAATATTACCAACATAAGAGTATCATTAAAATTTATTTGTAATATTGGCCTATTTAAATTCTGCAGATCACACAAGGCTTAGTGTTTGGGTACTTGATGGAGACCCTAAACATTCAGAGCTTTTAGAATTTTCCGTTAATGCAAACAATTTGGAACATACATTGGTCCTGCTAGCTGTCTCGATGACAACACCTTGGGCAATCATGGACCAGCTTCACACGTGGGCATCCACTCTGCAAGATCACATAGACAAGCTCAATCTTGATCCCGATAAGTTCAAAGAACAGCAAGACAGAAGTAAGTACTCTAAGAGCTCGGTAATTTAAATTCCAATAACCTGAAGGGAGTAAATGGTGGGAGTAATCAGATAGTTAACAAATTAAATTTTTTGTTATATTTGGACATGCCAGGTAAGAAGCTTGCCCAACTCGAATGGGAAGGGCCCCCCCCCCCATGTGTTGCGGATTACAGAGTGTAGACAGTATGTCCTGATTTTCAGATTGTAAAATACATGTGTGTAGATTTTCCTATTTCTAACCCACTAATTTTTCAATTTGTTGTATTTGCAATGGAATCGACTAATCGTAAAAATAGGATGTACAGTACTGCATTAGCCCAAAAAAAATACTGATAATATTTACATAACGTGTGCCTTGGCCTCGATAGATAAATTGGGTTGCCTTTGTGAAATTCTGGTTAGGGAAAATAGTTGCATCTTTCATGGAGTGGTAAATTGAGAGAGAACAGTAATAATTTATGGTTACAGTACTGTATATGAAAATAGGCTTCTTTTTATATTAGCAGGAATTTTTACTTAGTTTATACAGCTGGAAAACAATTTCAGTGTTTCTTCATACTATTATTGAAAGTGATTTTAAAGTGCAGCTTTCCTGTTGCTACATTCCTTTGTGTAAATTTTGACATAGAGCTTTAACTTGTAGTAAAATATCCTTGAAGCCAGCAAATACTGCTTACTAATAAGTACTTTGTAATAAATATAATTCTATTATGTAGGATGTGGTTTTAAATATGTTATTGAAGTAACTAAAAGTATTTTGACACCAGTGTCGCGGTTATGGCAAGATTATGTTGAGCCTGGAGATGAACTAGAAGCTGGGTCACCCATGAAGCGGTCGTCGAGAAACCTAGAAAACGATGACGAGCCTGTCTTGCCTCTCCCAGAGAACGTTCTAACCAGAAATCTTGGACTTCATGTTATAGTTGTAGTTACTAAGGTGTGTAGGGTATTTCTTGGTTTTAAAGTTAGCAACACTAAGGAAAGTCAACAAAAAAGCATAAAATTATTTGTTTTTCACAGTTGGGTACAAAAGTTGGGACACCATTTAACAAGCTTAGAACATTTCTTTCTGATAGCTCATTTTAATCCTTACTAAAAAGTTGATAAACTCAAAAGATTTCCTTGGTAATAGTTTGGTTTGGATATTTGATTTTACTTAATGTCTTTAATTAAATGAATGGCTTTTTCTGTAGCCTATGCATTTGTTGTTGCAGTGTAATAGATTTTATATATTTAAATGGTTCCCCCTTTTCAGTAGAAGGTTATTTCGTTACTTTTCCTTTGAGGTTAAATCCTGGGTTTCTAATTTATATGAAACATGTTAATGAGAATGTGTTATAATTTAGGTCAGCTGGCTTTGACTGAGCTGTCACTGTTATTAGAGAAGTTGAGTATTTTACTAAAGTACTTCATCTTACTTGCTCCTTATTTCCCTGTGACTATTTTTAGCCATGTACTTCTGCAACTTAGTACTACAGTGCTACATTATTGGAAAATTTATATTATCTGACTATACAATCATTGTACAATACTTATTTTTGTTTATTAGTGTCTCACGTTTGTTAAATATGGTAAAAATACACCTTTACATAGACAAAATTATATACTCATTTATTATGTGTTTTGTGTTTTCAACATATAAAAAAATGCAATTGTTTAATAAACCATTGGTTAAACCTATATTTTCCAGACGGATTATATGTCAACGTTAGAAAAGGACTTCGACTATAAGGAAGAACACTTCGACTTCATTCAGCAATCAATTAGAAAGTTTTGCCTTCAATATGGTGCGGCCCTCTTTTATACTTCAGTAAAAGAGGACAAGAATTGTGACCTGTTGTACAAGTATCTAGTCCATAGAATCTACAATTTTCCCTTCAGAACTCCTGCGCTTGTTGTTGAAAAAGATGCTGTCTTCATGTAAGTTGCTGCCTTGTTGTATTATATGTTGGTAACTTTGCACTGTAGTGGAATATTGTCTTCTATTCTTTTTGCATCCTCTTCTTTCCTCCCTCTTCTTCCCTCTCATCCTCCATTTTCTCTCTCCTTCTTTATCTTCCTCTCTCCTCACATTCCTTCCTTTCCCTTTTCCTATTTTCCCTCTACTTTATTTTTTCTCTATTCTTAGCCTCTTCATTTCTCTCTTCCCTTTCTATGCCACTTTTCTGTTCTTCATCCTCATTCTCTTTTTCTCTTTTCTAATTCTATTCTCTCGTTTTACCCTGTCATGTCAATCCTCCTTCCCTGCCCATTTTTACCCTCCTAAAATGTTTCTTAAATCGGAGTATAGCCAGCAAGTTTGTAGACAGTTGTAGTGGGCCAGCTGTGTGTGGACAGTTGTAGTGGGCCAGCCGTGTGCGGACAGTTGTAGTGGGCCAGCTGTGTGCGGACAGTTGTAGTGGGCCAGCTGTGTGCGGACAGTTGTAGTGGGCCAGCTGTGTGCGGACAGTTGTAGTGGGCCAGCTGTGTGTGGACAGTTGTAGTAGGCCAGCTGTGTGTGGACAGTTGTAGTGGGCCAGCCGTATGTGACCAGTTGTAGTGGGCCAGCCGTGTGTGGACAGTTGTAGTGGGCCAGCCGTGTGCGACCAGTTGTAGTGGGCCAGCCGTGTGCGGACAGTTGTAGTGGGCCAGCCGTGTGCGGACAGTTGTAGTGGGCCAGCCGTGTGCGGACAGTTGTAGTGGGCCAGCCGTGTGCGGACAGTTGTAGTGGGCCAGCCGTGTGCGGACAGTTGTAGTGGGCCAGCCGTGTGCGGACAGTTGTAGTGGGCCAGCCGTGTGCGGACAGTTGTAGTGGGCCAGCCGTGTGCAGACAGTTGTAGTGGGCCAGCCGTGTGCGGACAGTTGTAGTGGGCCAGCCGTGTGCGGACAGTTGTAGTGGGCCAGCCGTGTGCAGACAGTTGTAGTGGGCCAGCCGTGTGCGGACAGTTGTAGTGGGCCAGCCGTGTGCAGACAGTTGTAGTGGGCCAGCCGTGTGCGGACAGTTGTAGTGGGCCAGCCGTGTGCGGACAGTTGTAGTGGGCCAGCCGTGTGCAGACAGTTGTAGTGGGCCAGCCGTGTGCAGACAGTTGTAGTGGGCCAGCCGTGTGCAGACAGTTGTAGTGGGCCAGCCGTGTGCGGACAGTTGTAGTGGGCCAGCCGTGTGCGGACAGTTGTAGTGGGCCAGCCGTGTGCAGACAGTTGTAGTGGGCCAGCAGTCAGCAATGAGCAGACAACTGTCTTAGCCAGCAAAGTACAGACAGTTGTAATAGACTGCATTAATAAATTTGTGAAACTATTGTTTATTATACAGTAATTGTTAAGATCATAATAAATTTCTGAACTTGGATTCAGTCTGGTGAATGCACCACGATCCATGGGTTTATGCTTGTCGGGTGGAATTATTGTGAACAAATTATGAAATACTGAAGCATAGTTGATAATGAAAATAAATAGGATTATTGGGCAAAAAAATGTTGAGAAATATTTTAACCCCAAAAAATTATATTGATGAGGAAAACCTTGTTAGACCCTATTGTTTGTGATTACCTAAGAGTGACTGGAAAGTGAAGTCTAGCCCTTTTTCCCGTCTAATAGCTTTGTTGTCAGGGAGTGCTGACATGTTTTGGGCACTTCACTCGCTGGCTTATCAGAATTGTTCATTTTTCCAACTTCATTGACAAATGTCACACTTGTCAGAAGTGTCATTTTTCTCTGGCTTGCCTGCTTTATTTTTTTATTTTTTTTTTTTTTTTATTTTTTTTTTTTTATTTTTTTTTTTTTTAACCTTCCATGATACTCATTATTTTGAAAACATCACAAAGAGATAATAGTTGTGCCAAACCTTGTGAATGGCCAAGACATATTGGTGAGATGTGAACTAGCAAAATCAAGAATTTAAGTACTGTACTAAAAATGGATAATCCAAGAAACGTGGAGAATAAAGTAAGGAATGAAAACGTCATGAATGTCACAAGATCCACGAGTACAGTATGTACTGTACTGTACTATGATCTTGAAAGAGGTTATCTTGAGATGATTTCGGGGCTTAGTGTCCCCGCAGCCCAATTCTTTCAGGGGTGAAAGAAACTTTGCTGATTTGTTTCCACCTCCACCGAGGATTGAACCCGGAACCTTAGGACTACGATTCCCGAGTGCTGTTCATTCGGTCGTCAGACCCTATATTTGATAGTTTAATCACGTTATATGAATGGTTGATGATTGGTCATGAGTAAATCTGAGGGATGGAGGAGAGGAACACGGAGAAGACGATAGACAGAGCCATAGTGAGTGAGGCAGAGGTGGTAGGAAATTATTGCAACCACCATTTAGTGCATAATGGGGGACAAGGCTAGGTGATAGCAGCTTGTGAATAGTGTTATTGTTTTACTTGTTCTGTCCATTAGATAACTTATGCTTTCCCTGTCCACTAACTGTGGATAATAAGGAAATAATGATGATGAATTTATTTACTGCTACCATTTAATAAATTAAATAGCACTATATTGTGATTTCATCCTAAGACATGAAATATTATTACCTTGCAGCCCTGCAGGTTGGGACAATGACAAAAAGATTTCCATTCTTTATGAAAACATGCACACAATGAGCCCTGATGACTACTACACAGATGTTGTAGTGAAGCCGCCTGTTGTACGCAAGGTGAGTTACGTTTTGTTTAATAGTTGCAGGAGAGAACCAAAGAACATGGTTCATACCTACGAGTTTTGAGCCTCATTATGATGGTACTTCAAAAGGTAGAATGATTTGTGTGCTTAATAGGATCATGGCATAGTCAAACAGGAAACATTATGTAAAGAAAAGAGATTTGCTCCAAAGAGAAAATCTTTGGAGCAGGGTAATGGAATTAAAGTTACACCATGGGTCTTCCCTGATGCATGTGTCAACCACTGAACCATGGTGGATTTAAAGGCAACACAACTTGATGTTCAGCTGAACTTCTTTTTGTAAGTTCAGGTTGTGTTGCTTTTAAACCCATTGTGGTCCTGTGGGAAAGGCGTGTAACTAAGGAGATACAGGATGCAAGTTCGATTCCATTTGCACTTCTCCAAAGATTTGCTCAGATGTTACCCAACTGTGATTTCATTGTGCATAATGTACTGGTGCTATGAGGACTACAGTGTCCTTGGGAGTCACTGGAGAAAAGCACCGATCAAAACAGGATAATCTCTATTTACAAAGGTCTTTTAACAAGCCTAGAGCAACACTATGCAACAAGTGGTTGCATGGTGCCATTTACTCGACCACGGAAGGAAGCTCGAACTAGCCAAACAACCAATCAAACTAGTGCTTGCCAGTGCTTTGTATAGGGAAGCATTTATCATGTATACTTAAGGTACAAATTTATTTTTTTTATGGGTGATAGGTCTTTGGATTTTGCAGAAACTGATTAGACTTTGATTTGGATAGAATACAGAATTCTTACTACTGTACTTGTACTTATATTTCATCCATTTTATATATGAAATCACACTACTGTAATTGTATATTGACTATTTTATGGATTTCCAGGCTGTTGCCAGGGAGGTAGAAGTTCAAGCAGAAGATGAGCAAGCCTTCTTGGCACGACATCTGGCACAGCTACAGGCAGGGTGTACTGGCGCCCCCAATACTCCCCAGGGACGTCAGGAATCCCCTCTTAGACAATCGCCAGCTGTTCAGAAGACCAGTGAACGTAGAGTGTCAACGGGTGTTCCGCCTAATCAAATTGGCTCTCCGAAAAAGGTCAGTGTTACTAGATACTGTAGTGTTATGTCCTGTAGAAGTATTGCAATGAAAGAATTTTTGTATATAAAAATATTGTATTATAGCTGTAGATAAATATTTGGTAGAGATGTATAAGTATGCGTCTGGATGTTTGATCCATATTGGATTTTTTTAGCTGTTTAAATATCATTCGCGTTGGTTAATACCCAAGTTATTGATGAATTTTTGTATATATTTCAATTAAAAGTTAAACTTTATCTTCTCATATACTGTGTTTGAAAGTTTTTTCGATACATGGATGCAGTTTTGTACCTAGTGTATTCGTGATAATGTAAAAGGTTATTTATGGGTGTGATAACTTTTAGTGTGTATTGAAATAAGTTTATTGAGGTGTAAGTAAACAGTTCAGGTAACTCAAGGTATAAATAAACAGAGTTCAGGTAACTCAACCTGTTCTCATGCCTTTCAATACAACCTGTTCATGTATTTACACACATCACAAATAATCTACATATTACTTTACATTCTAGCTAATAAACATCTTAATTTCTGTGAGTGTGTGTTGTTCTAGACTAGAGTCAGAGGCTTATACAAAATTCTACATGTAAAGGTGGTGAGTGGACCATATGTTGCAAATTACGTGAGGGCTATACTATTAAGTAGTTTTAAGATAATGGGTTATTGGGTATGTATTGCTTAGTTAATATTTGACTTGGTGAAATATAATAAGTCATAGGACTTAAAGTAATCGATACAGATAATTTTAAACTAAACCCCTTGTCAGCTGCCCCACACTCTAATTATGACAACTAATACTGTAAAAATTTTGAAGATGTACTGAACGTAAATGAGAATGGTTGTAGGCACAAGGGTTGTATATGGATGAATGCAAACTAGGAGTGCAAGCTTGTTTGGGGAGAGGGAGCATAGATTTTGCTGAATAAAAGTCCTACATAGTGCTGTGCATGACAAAAATAGTAAACAAAACTAAGGAAAAAAAGAAAAAAGTCACATTTGGCAATTTGAGTACAAGATGCAATTGTAAATAGTGATTAGTGCCATTTAATGATTAATGATGTTTTTCAGTACTGTACACAAGTACTGTGTATCTTGTCCTGTGTCCAACTAAAGACTTTTATGTAAAATGTGTGTTGTTTGCTTGTAAATGTTTTATTGTGTAAAACAAATGTCTTGTTTTGTTTTGTCTTCAAGATAAAGTAGCATAACATTAGATTTAGAATTAGAAGTTTGGTGTGTGTGTGTCACTTCCTTCAATCTGATATGGACAACTTCAAGGCAGAAGTGTAATAGATCTTGCAGAATTAATCATCTCCTTGCAGTACTTCTAAATCTATTTTGTCTTAATTCTGTAAACTATTGTAGATTATAGATAATGTATCTTCCACTCCTGCTTTTAGATGTGGAGGCCGCCTTCTGTAAGTGTGCAATAGATTTATACTGTCTTGAGTTTCATGCGTGCTTACTTTCTGCTTTTTCCACAAATCTAAACAAATTTATGGTAGAGGTGTACCGATGTATTGGTAGTGTCGGCTTATTTTCATATTATTGTATTGGTCGACACTTTTTTTGTTACATATACATAGGTGGGTTCAGATCTAATGTTTGACAAAAAATATTAAGTACCGGTGTTGGAGTACTTGATGGTCTTTTTAGTCTCGGGGTACTGTGTGAATAAGACTCAATCGGTGCATCTCTGCCTTATAGTTTTTTCTCTGAAATCAAATGCTACTTTTATAATTTGCACACTTTTGGTTGTAATTATGAATATATATAAAGTATGAATGTGTGTCTGTGCATGCGTGTGTGTGACAGGTATGTGTATACAACATAGTTATACATATAAGCGCACATGCATCTATATACAGTACTCCCTATCCTGACCCTCGTATGGCCACATGGCTTCTGTGTAAGTATGCAGTTGTAGAAGCCTCATATTTATGTAGAAGCCTCATATTTATGTAGAAGCCTCATAATATGGATCCTCATATTTAATGCAAACATCCATTCAGAGTAATAGCAACATTATTGCAAAGGTTGAGAGTTGATGACCATTCAACCTATTCTCTCAAATAGTTCATCACATTTGGATGTATAAATCCCCAACGGTCAAAATACGATGTGCTATAAATCACAGTAGCTTGCAAAATTGAGGTGCTGTCAAGTTTTTTTTATTTGTGGGTTCTTGGTTAGGTTAGGTTGGGGGTAATTTGATACAGGTTAGAATTTTTGTGACGTAACAACTCAAGAGGATAGGCTGGATAATTTATGCTACATCAGGATGATTTTTGGAGTTTAGACAGCATCTTGTTAAGACCTATGGAACATTTTATTGAAAGTATTATAATGTGTGTGTGTGTAGGTATGGTAAATGAGTGGCAGTATCCAACCTTTCAGAAAAGCAGTTGTTGCAAAGCATATCTATCTGCATTATAAAGTTTTAATGGTGCATTCCTTATTAGTTATTTCGAGTTTACACAAGAGAGAGAGCCATGCACCGTAGCAAAGAGTCTATAGACACTTTCAAATTGGGCAATTTAAGAAGAGCACTTTATACTGAAAATTAATATTTTAGTTTCATAAATAGTTGTCCCTCAACCATCACACTGCTCCACTCTCTTGATAGTGATTGGCCCATATGCTCAAATTACCTGGAGATGATTTAAGGTGCCCCATTTTATTCAAAAGCCTAACCCATTCTTGGGGGACATCATTTGACACTAGAGACTTCTAGTTCACTGTGCTTCCCTAATCTGACATTAAAGTTTATGGTACGTTTAAGATCATGTGATGCTTGTGATTTATCACATGATTTGAGTGATTATGTAATTGTGTGATTGTTAGCATGTGATGTGTGCGAGTGATTACATGATGCATGCAAGTGATTATAGGATGTGTGTGAGTGATTACATGGTGTGTGAATGATCACATGTCAATGATAATGCAGTTATGAGCAAATTATTAGAAATAGTGTTTGAAGGTAGGATTGCTAATTTGCAAATCCACAGCTAAAATAAAAATGGAAAAATATATTAGTCTTTCAATGGGTAATTAAAAATGGCTCTGGTGAAGTGGGCAAATTGTTGGACATGGTGTACTTTAAAGATGCTACTAGAAGCAACTGTGTGAATAATTTATATTACATGCAGTCTCTGTGTGTTGGACTAGTGTATGGAAGTTAGTCTTGACAGCATTTTTGCTTGGAGTACATTCAGCTGCTGTATTTGCTTTGTATTTCTTTTATGTGCATATACTGTATATGTATTTTTTTATTACAGCTTCTGTTTCATTTTTTTTAGACTTGAGTAACTAACTGGATACTAATTAGTGTATTGTTTGTAATGTATCTAAGTTTTTATGGTAATATATTTCTAGATTTTATGTAGTAGTGCAGTTTAATAAGTCACAATGTGGATGAAAACAAATATCCCATCTCACACGTGAAATAAAAGGACTCTGATGACACATTATGGTCCATCCTGGACTTTGCGTTGATTGAGTTACAGTATTACATTTTTTATTTGGTACCAATTTTACTTATTGCATTTGTCACATTTCTGAACGTTGTCGAGCCACACCCATAACACAATTGAAGTGATTATTTGTTGCTGTAGTGTTTACTACTTTAAGTATTGTTTGATGCATTTGCTTTGCTACTGAAAGTGCAACTTATGCATAAAGCCAGGCTCTTTGCACTACTGCTCAGTCTCCTAATGCATTTTGACTGCACGAGGAGAATTTGACTGGTTTGACTAAATATATTAGTTTACCATAGTGGGAAATTGTACATGAAATGTAAGATTTTGTGTTACCGTATATTTCAATGCCGAACTGATAGTAGATGGTAGACTGTGGTGTATTGTGTACAAAATGTAAACAATTGCAACCAAAAAAAATATGAATTGTAGTATTCCTTTTATAGAGAGCTTGAATAAAAAGGGCAATAACCTAACCTAACCTCTGTTAGGCTTGGCTTAGTATACATGTGGGCTACTTTGGATTTAAAGTTCAAGTACATATATCAGGCCTTGGATTACATAGACCCAAGAGAGGTTAGGTTGTGGATTATTATTATTTTAATGCTCTTTATAGTACAATAATACAAAAGATGTACTTTTTGTGCAACAGTACATATTTTGTACACATGCCTCACAATTGCTATTGACACTAATTTTTTGGGGGGATGTTTTTATGTACCTAATGAAGACTATGCACTTTAATTAACACTAGCTTACCAATAAATTATTCTGATGTATTCTAACAAGCTTGCAGTTCTGTATAAGGGATAAGTTGATTATATTTAGATCACTGGGTACCTTAATTATGTAAAGTTCGTTGTGTGACAACTGACGGTATGATAGCTGTATTATAGTTGTAGTAAGTGCATCTGTATAGTCCTTTCACCAGTCATATCTCTTGTTAGAAGTTCTTATTGAGATGCGATATATTTCCCTTTGTTTTTTAAGATTTTGTTACATAATATATTAATATTCTTTCAACAAGCTCTTGTTTATATGTAATAAATTTTCATTTTTCATAATTTCAAACTGCAGTTAGTAATTTAAAAATTCGTACACTGTGTGTAACTTGGTAGGAAAGACTAAAACAATGATGGTTCCTAACTTTGACAGATCGAATCAACAAAGCCGGGAGTTACTGGCGCCAACGAAGGTGTCCTTGCAAACTTCTTCAATTCTTTACTTAGCAAGAAGACAGGAACAAATCCACCTACCCCTGGGGCCATAAAAACAAATGGTATGTTTATAAATGTCGATTTATATTAAATGCTGTAACTTATTTTACTAGTACAGGTAATTAACCCCTTGGACTGCAGCATTAGATACATTACTTGGTGTGCTAAAAATATAAAATATAATGAAATGGGTAGCTTTATATATATAAATATATATATATATATATATATATATATATATATATATATATATATATATATATATATATATATATATATATATATATAAATAAATTATTAGTTTCTAAAATAAACTTTCTAAAGTTTATTTTAGAACCTTTAGAAAGTTATGTAGAAGGTAATTAATATTCTTTTTCTTGTTCCTGCCATTGTGGTGGTGGTACGATGTCTTTACAAAACAATGTTAAAAATCTGATTTTGCTGATATCTTCCACATGCATCAGTGTGTGCGTGTATGTATGTACTGTACATTGATTCGATGTTTATAGTCAGTATTACATAGGAATTATTGTATATTTTTTTCATATGTGGAAACAATACTGGTTTATGTACAATACTGTATTGACAAAGTTTAAAAACAAAATGTTACACTTTGGCATATTCATACCAAAGTTAAGAGTAGTTTATTTGAGCTTCAGAGCCATCAATTGCCAACATGAGGCAACTATGTTGCTTTGCCTTGTGGTAAAGCTTTTCAATGCCGCAGTCCAAGGATTAAGACATTTAGAACTGCGTCAGACAAGCCATTGTTATTTAATTGAGTTGAGCAGTACTGTATTTAGTAGTACAGGTAGTCTCTAGTGCCAGAAGGCTCATCACTACTGCTTGCAACATGTCTAATCTATCATGCATCTTAATCACTTGGCCTTATGTTTACAAACAAATAAAGCTTGCATTGATTTGATTGATATAAAACGTAGGTGCAAGGGGACACTATATTGGGTAATGTGTTTCCAACTTTTAAATTTGTAATTTAAAGGAGCACATAAGGTTCTTGGGATTTATAAATCATTACTCAGTCTTCCATATGCACTCACCTCACTGTTTTACCTCCTCCCCTCCCCCCCTCCACACACACAAAAACACACGCACACAAAAAAAAAAAAAAAACACACAAACATAGCAGCGATACAGAGATGCGAGAAACTACACAGAAGTGAGGAGAGAAGCAGAAAGAAATTTTGAAAAGTGGGATTGCAGACAAATGTAAAATAGAACCAGGCTTATTCTATAATTTCATAAACAACAAATTACAGGTAAAGGATAATATTCAGAGATTGAAAATGGGAAATAGATTCATGGAAAATGAAAAGGAATGTGCACCTGAGCTCAGCATTCCATTTCAACTGATTTTTCAGGCATCCCTGTGTATAGGAGTCGGAGCAGATATGTGGAAAAAGGCTAACATAGTTCCAGTCTACAAAAGTGGCAGCAGGGAAGACCCCTCAATTATAGACCTGTATCATTGACAAGTGTAAGTCAAAATATTGAACAAAATAATAGAAAGTAAATGGCTAGAAGAACTGGAGAAAAACCATATGATATCACACAGTATGATTTTCGATCTGGAAGATCCTGTGTAACGAATTTACTCTGTTTCTATGATCAAGCCACAGAGATTTTACAGGAAAGAGATGGTTGGGATGACTGCATCTATCTGGACCTAAAAGAAAAAAAGGCTTTCAGCAAAGTTCCACATAAGAGGTTGTTCTGGAAACAAACATATAGGAGGGGGTAACAGGTAATCTTCTAACATGGCCAAGTACCAAATCTACACAGTAAAATAACCACATACTGGAGTGAACATTATGGAAGAAAATGGAGAATAGAACCCAGTGAAGAGCAGGGGGTGCCATAGGCACAATCAGAGAACACTGTATAAACATCAGAGGTCTACGGTTGTTCAGCATCTTCCCAGCCAGCATAAGAAATATTGCCGGAACAACCGTGGACATCTTCAACAGAAAACTAGATCATTTTCTCCAAGGAATGCCAGACCAACCGGGTTGTGGTGGATATGTGGGCCTTGCAGGCTGCTGCAAGCAACAGTCTGGTGGAGCAAACTGTCACAAGTCAAACCTGACCTCGGGCCGGGTTTGGGGAGTAGAAGAACTCCCAGAACCCAATCAACCAGGTATCGACCCAGGATGAAAAATTCTCTAACTAATAGAAAAATGAGGGGCAGTAATCAGAGGCAATGTATCAGACTAGAGAAATGTCTCAAGTGGAGTACCACAGGGTTCAGTTCTTGCCCTGGCAATGTTCATTGTCAACATAAACGATCTACCACATGAAATACTTAATTATATGAACAAGTTTGCTGATGATGCTAAGATAGTAGGGAAGATAAGAAACTTCGATGATTGTCATGCCCTTCAAGAAGACCTGTACAAAATACAAGTATATGGAGCACCACTTGGCAAATGGAATTTATTGTGAATAAATGCTATGTTATGGAATGTGGAATAGGAGAACATAGACTCCACACAACCTATAAACTATGTGAGAAATCTTTAAAATATTCTGATAAAGGGAGAGATCTAGGAGTGGTTCTAGATAAAAAAAAAAGTCACCTGAGGACCACATTAAGAACATTGTGCGAGGAGCCTATGCTACACTTTCTAACTTCAGAATTGCTTTTATAAATATGTGGATTGAGAAATACTAAAGAAATTGTTCATGACCTTTGTTAGACCAAACCTGGAATATGCAGTGGTTGTATGGTGCCCATATCTTAAGAAGCACATCAACAAACTGGAAAAGGTGCAAAGACATGCCACTAAGTGGCTCCCAGAACTGATGGACAAGAGTTACGAGGAGAGGTTAGAGGTATTAAATATGCAAAAGCTAGAAGATAGAAGAAAAAGAGGCAATATGATCACTACGTACAAAATAGTAACAGGAATCTATAAAATTGTTAGGGAAGCATTCCTGAGACCTGGAACTTCAAGAACAAGAGGTCATAGATTTAAACTAACAAAACAAAGCTGCCAGAGAAATATAAGAAAATTCACTTTTGCCAACAGAGTGGTAGAAGATTGAAACAAGTTAGGTGAGAAGGTGATTGAGGCCAAAACCGTCAGTAATTTCAAGACGTTATATGACAGAGTGCTGGGAAGACGGGACACCACTAGCGTAGTTCTCATCCTGTAACTACACTTAGGTAATTACACACATATATACCTGTGTGTATATATATATATATATACACATACTGTATACATAATATACATATACATATGCAAGTATGCATAAAATATCAGTACATTATTTCAAGAACCATCAATTTAGCGGAAAAATGGGTGGCTGAAGATTACTTGAAAATAGCTGTATCATTGATTTTTTATGTTTTTGGAATGAATATTCAAGGATTAGTGACTTTGTGAATTAATAAATAACAATAATTTTTATTATGGGGGTGATTGGAAAACTTTTTTCGAGTTCGATTTTTCTAAGTGCTCAAATTTTTTCATCAATGCATGAGGGAAAGCCATTGACAGTGGGAATATGCTCATGGCTTATTGCGTATTTTGTTTCATCGACTTGACCACTACAGCATCTTAAATTTTTATGTAGTGGTCTTCAGAATGGGCAGTAAAGGTCTTATTAACTAAACAGCCTTTGGCTCGTACCTCACCTAGAACTTGAAGCCAACCTTTGCCTATGGGATTTATTATCAGTGACCAAAATTCAAGTCTATAGTGAGTGTTTTGAGTGTGTGTGTATTGGTACATTCAATGTGGAACAAGTATAAAATACATTGCTCTATTGGCATCATGCATATGGAAAAATTCTTTGGAAGATTTTCAAGTTTTTAATTCAGTGCTTGGTATGATTGGATATCTGATGAACATGTAGAGCTGCCATTATGAGATTAATATTTTCTCATGCCAGATAACCTTATTACAAAATTAGCAACATTTTGAAGCTAAAATGATAACAAATATACCAGAATATAGACGTGCATTCTTTTTTTCTATAATGTTGCTTCGCAAAATTTTAAATACTGCATTTATGTTCAGATTCAAATTTGTCTGCCCATATCTTTTGACCTCGTATAGAATCTTCCCTAGACATCCCGACTGCTTCCAAATGTTGAAGACATTGAGAGGAGCACCTGAAACGTCTGTTGAAGAGTTCCTCTCACCGGTTTAGCCATCACGTAAGTGAAGCAGTTACCATTTGCTTGCATTGTGAGGGATTCCTCTGCGAGCTAACATAAGTGGGAAGTGCAAGGAAAGGCAAGGGATAGATGGATTGGGAAAGTAAAAGGAAATAAAGGATCAAATTAAAGAAGCATATAATAAGTCAAGAAAACTATTTATTGAAACTAAATGAGATGAAACTAGGTGAGGGCCAAGCAGTACAGGGTATTGTGAAATAAACCACAGAAAAAAAATGCCTGCGAAACGAGTACATGTCAATTTTTACTTGGCCCATAGTAATACTTTCCTGGGAAATCAAGGCCCTGATTGCATACCACATTTGCCTAACCCATGTTAATACTTCTGAGGTCATTTAGGTCAACTGATGGCGATAATCTAAGATGTGAGAACTTTGTCACTTGTGATTCTCTGTCCTCGGATGTTTGGAAATGCTCCAAGAATGGGGAAAAGAACAAGAACATTATAAAGGCTGGATATTATTAGGTTACGTTCAGACACTTTTCCCGTTTTTTTTTTTTTTTTTTTTTTTTTTTTTTTTTTTTTTTTTTTTTTTTACTATGTTTCTAGTGTTTTTTTTTTTTTTAATTATGCAGTGTAACCTTGTGAAAACGTTTTCCAACTGCAAACTAATGTGATTGTCTCTGCTCGGTGTACCATCAATCAATAAACTCTTTACACACATTCCCTATTGCCGAGCATGTTTTTCTGTACATGTTCATTGGCTACCCCATTTTCCCATATACTTGGATTACAGTATCTGAAAATATAAATTTCTGGTTCTCACACATTAACCAAATCATGTCTGGTTATGACATTAATTCTCCATTATGCATGATGTCTCAGGGTGATTTGGCGGCAGTTTTAAGCATGGGAAAAGGGGATGATTAAGTCTGGTGCCTCCATGGATGTGAGTTTATTTCCCTTGTATTGCTCCAAAAGATTTTTCTGATTTGCTTTTGGGATTTCCATTGTGCATCTTATTTTAATTTTCAGTTTGAGAGCACAGAATTCTGAATATTGATATATATCTCCTTAAATATAATTCAAAATGTCGTAGAAATTCTTGACCAAAAACTGAGGTGTGAGGAAATAAATGGGTCTATTTTGGAAGAAATTGTATGAAATTATATTGTATTCAGACTATTGGAAATACTGTACCAATTGGTCCAGGTAAGAGATATCTCGCTGTATTGATCTCTCTCTCTCTCTCTCTCTCTGCAGTTGGATTTTTAGTACAGTCAAACTTTGTATAATGTATGATTTTTGCCATAATATCATTTTCATTTAGTGACTGATTATTTGAATTGCTTGCCATATAATTACACAACACACTTGTGGCATGGGCACTTGCCATTCGAGCAAATATAGCCAGGATTTGGCTCCTCCGCACACCCAACGATTCTAACATCCACTCTCACCCACTGTCACCTCCACTCCCCTCCCCTGGATACTCCCACACCTTTACCCCACACATACTCGCCTCATTCCCTCACCTACTGAAATTCATCTTCTGTTTATTGGTAAATTAATGTCAAATGTTTGTAACTGTCCGTGTTAGCAGATATTGATGTACAGCCATTTTAAATCTTCTCTATTGTCATTCTGCCCCTTTCATAGCTCTTACCAGGGAGGTGGGAGGAATCTAAAATGCATATTTCCTATTGTTAAGGACAGGAAGCTTATAATTAGGGTTATGAAAGTCCCCCCATTGAGCAAGCACCACCCCATTGCTTCATAAGACTAAACATACAGTGCTCCATTTGATTTTTATATATATAAAAACATTTTCTCCATAAACGTTTCCATCTGATCAGCTTCCTTTCACAATCATCCTGTTTGCCTGTGTTTTTGGCCTACCTTTCCTCCTCACTTTTACTACTTTCTCCTGGCCAGTCACTCATACTGGGAAACTTAAAATTTAAGTCATTCATAACAATTAACCAGCTCGGCTAATTAAAAGTTCTACGTCATGGTGCGCCAGATAACAAATAGTTCACAAAACTAATGTAATAAAATTTTGGGATGAATCGAGTACAGGAGGTAATCACAGATAGTGCTTGGAGTCGTTTAAGGGTTAAGGCAGGAGGAACAGACACAATGATTCGCCCATTTGTTCAACATGAGCACACTCAGTAGCCATCCCTAATGCTTGAGAGTTAATGAAGGATCTCTATAATGCTTATGGTTTTCCTAAGGCAACACGTACATTTCAGATTGTTAATTTCTACTTCTCTAATTTTGTATTTTTTGTTGCATTCTTGCCATACTGGGGTCTCCGTACATGAGGGTATGCAACACTACTCCTTTTATGCATACATTTGGCTGCCTCTCTAAATTATGTCCTCTTTTTTAGCCAGGGCTTTTATTGCAAGAACTTGTATCAGGCTTATAGATCAAACAAGCTTTTTTAGTTTTCAGAATTTACATTTTGTACTTTTTCTTGTTTTACATGGTGTATATAGTATGTGCAATACTGTGTACATCTCTCACCACCCAGGATAAATGGTTTAAAATTTGGTGTATACATGGCATTGGTCATTTAATGTTGTATTGCTATTGCTCTATTATAGTACTCTATAGAATTTATATTTATTGTTTTCACTATATAGTTTATTAAGTTAGTGCTATCTGCCAAGGATCTTGCTTTACCAATAGCCCTTTGTCATTTGTTCCTCGACAAAATCTGTGATGGATCTGATGCCTCGATGTCACTTGTCTTTGTGTTCTGCTATTAGCATCTTGAATGGTATGTGGGAATTTGGTCATGTGTCACAGAGCTAAATAGTCTTCCAGATTTAGCACCTTCTAGTGATAATTGTGTATCTGCATAATTACGTATATATATGTAATTACTTATTTGCATGCAAGTTATCCAGGAACAACCCTGCCACATTTGAGTTGTACATATTAAAGAGTAGGATATACGGTATTGGCAAAAAAAAAATGGATAATTTTTCAGACGTCCCAAGGGCTACTTATTTCCGTTCGGTAAAATACCAATCTAATTTTTACTAAACTCTCCTGCCACTTTCCAGTTAAAAATGTAGTTCACTGTACTGTAAGAAATAGGGATTAACATTCACCATTGATGTAGAAGACATTGGTTGAATATTAGTCACAAATATTTGGAACTAATTGTATCATGCGTAGATTTGTATTTTTAATGTCCCATATTGTTTTTGTACTGTGTAATCTATTGTTAGCATATTTGAGAACAACTATACTATTTAATTTATGCAGCAATGTGTTTACATGAAATATCTTGGTATTCAGTGTTGTTCAGAGGGTTTCGGGCTGATGAAAAGTATCTCCTAAAATTTTGGATTTGTGATGAGGTACAGTGATGTGATCACAATGTATCGAGGTGAGGTACTGTGATGGTCATGACATTCTGTGGTGAGGCACCGTAATGTGGTCACGATGTACTGTGGTGAGGTACCATACTGTGGTCACAACGTACCGTGGTGAGGTTCCGTGATGGGGTCACAACAGCTGGCTAACAGATGGGTGGACAGCGCTTCGGATTCGTAGTCCTGAGGTTCCGGGTTCCATCCCCGGTGGAGGCGGAGACAAATGGGCAAAATGTTTCTTCCACCCTGTTGGCCCTGTTACCTAGCAGTAAATAGGTACCTGGGAGTTGGACAGCTGCCACAGACTGCTTCCTGAGGGGGGTGTAACAAAAAGGAGACCTGGTCGAGGACCGGGCCGTGGGGACGCTAAGCCCCGAAATCATCTCACGATAACGACGTACTGTGGTGATGTACCATACTTTGGTCATGACATACTGTGATGTGGTCACGACGTACTGTGGTGAGGTACTGTGATGTAGTCACGATTTACTGTGGTGAGGTACCGTGATGTTACAACGTACTGTGTTGAGGTACAGTATTGTGATGCGGTCACGAGATATACTGTGGTAAGGCCTTGATGCGAGTAATTATTCCCTCAATAACTGGATATACCCATCATAGGAAGATACTATTATTATTATATAGTATATTGTTTTAATTTACTACAGTTCAGTAATTTATTGATGTCCAATGATATTATTATATTTACTGTTTAAATTTTACTTTAATTTTGATTTTAATAGTCTATGTAATTTGTCGATGCATCCCAAGTGACAGGAAGGTTAATCCCCACTCTCTCCCTCATTACGTGCCTCGGACTAATATACACATTGCCATCACATCTAACAACATTTCTCATGTGTATTGATCCAGTGAGTGTGTCAGTACTTGCGTATTCTGAAACTCAATTCTCCATCCCTTACTTATTTTGTGATGTTTGACTCTGCGTTAATTTTACCTGCATTTGCATGTCACAGAAGTGTTGGGAGAGGATCCTGCATGGGCCACCCTACTTTAAAGGTGGGAAATAGTTTATTCAACATTGATAGATACACATTTAGTTCATTCTTAAATCCCCTTTCAAGTTCTTGCACACAGTGCATTACTCATTTGTGCACCTTGAGCGCCTTCCCTTTTCTTGAGCTTGCTGATATTGGGGAATATTGGCATAATGGTATGGCAGGAGATTAGTTGTCATACGAGGCTACAGTACCAGTCTGGTGTGGGGTTTGTATGTGGCCAGTAGTCTGGTGGTATTATCACATGAGGTTACCAGTCTGGTGGTATTATCACATGAGGTTACCAGTCTGGTGGTGGTATCACATGAGATTACCAGTCTGGTGTTATCACACAAGATTATGAGTCTGGTGTGGTTATCACATGAGGTTACCAGTCTATTCCTAAATTTAAATCTTGATTATGGGGAAAATTTTAGTTTCTGCTTTTCTTTAGGCTAGCTTCCCCTTTTATAGCCAATTTCCCCACTAGCCTGTTAAAATTCCATCTGGTTTCACCCCAAAACAAATAAATGGGAAAATAAAACGTGATCTCAATTGGTCTAATGTATACAAGCCCACAAATGGGTTCACTTGTAAATACTTCACAGATATTGGACACCAATCAGACTGGTAGTAGGCAGATTTATGTGGCCTCTGTTCTAATTTTGAGAAACAAAGAGTATATTATTAAAGGATGAAATTAAGTGTCCGTAATGAAGAGCTAATGGGGCAGATCCTGGTTACTGATAGAATATTAGCTATTTTTTTATGGTCATTAGGCTAAGACTTCCTATTGTTTTCTATTTTTTGTTTCAGTGAAGACATTAGCATTAAAATAAAACCAGTAGAAAAGTAAAGATATATTGTAAATGTCTGTAGTTGGCATGTTTGGCTACCCACTTTAGGAGCCTTGCAACTCTGGTCATTTCTGTTAATAAATTAAAGTTGATTTAGCACACAAGTAACACTGTGTGATTCGTGGCATTGTCTGTGCTTGACAGTAACCTAAGTTCTAATTGCCATTTGCCATTCATGTTTGTTCCCTCTATACTTTTTCTGTTCTTAGTTAATAGCATTACCTATTCCACTATTAACTTTTTACCTTGACCTGTGATGCATGTTGCTAAAATTCTTGCATTATGTTACTGAGAACTGTAACAGTATTATTTCGGGTTTGGTGTTATATGTTGCATGAATCTCGTTAATACCTGATAGTCTGAGTTTACTGGTAAAGTAAGTACACAGTTGTACACCTTGATATATGCTGTATTTATGTCTCCAAAGATGGGTAGAGATGCAAGTTCTGTTTATGAGCAGCTGACCAAAGTTTCGTGAGATTTAACGAAAGCTCAGGTTTTTTATGGTCAGATGGCATGGTGAAGTACATGTAGGTACGTAAATGTGGTAACGCTCAAATTAGACGAGACCTGTCACTGCTTGTCAGTGCGAATTACTTTATTGGATGGAACTGTGCATTTATCCTGATAAGTCTGTTTTATGCCCTTGCAAATATCGGGTTAAAATGAACTTGGAAGAGGGAGGATTTTCTATCACTGAACTGTATGTTCATTTATTACTCATAATTCGGTATTGGTAGTTTGGATTTTTTACCAAACTTTTTACAAATTTAGAAAGTCAGTTTTGAGGTGTTGAGCTTAACCCTTTTTTTTCCAAAACGGCTAGCTACACTGAGCGGATATTCTAAACCAAGTTTTCAGGAATTGGCTATATATTTTAAATGAATGTGATGCTTACATTTCCATAGTATATAATTTCTTTTAACTTGTTCTATAAGGTTAACTGAAAATGTGTTTTGATTCAACAGTGGTACACATATTGCAGCTCCTCCATGCGCTTCGGGTCATCTTAGTATTTTAACTTTTCATTATCGGTGACTGTATTATGTATTTGTTGGAAAAATAAAATGAATTAACTAGGCAAGAGATTCTCAATTACTAACAGCTTGCCATTTTAAAATGGTTAGATTTTTTTTTTTTTTTTTTGTAATTAGCTTCAGTAATTTATTCACATAATATATGCAAAGAAAAACAGACTAGGTAGGAACTAGGAGGCAGAATAAAGTGAAAATTTAAAATTTTAATTAAGTTTTACAGTTGAAAATTTGTTGCAGCCCGTTATATGTAGCTGAAAGACAGTAAATGGGAAGAGTCAACATTTATTGAAAAATACCATAAAAGGTCGAATTACATATTGCAGAGAATAAATCACAATAACATGGCTGAAACAAATGACCCATCCCACACATGTAAAGTAAGTGGCGATGTTTTGGTCCATCCTGGACTTCATAAGGGTCCAGGATGAAGCAAAATGTCACATTCATTTCATTTCATGTGTGTGTGTGGGGGGGGGGGGTTAGTTGTTTACATTGTATACTGTATTCTAATGCATAGCTCTTTCGGGGTAAATCCCCTATGGACTTGCGTTATAAAATAGGAATAGAAAACTTACCAGGTAATGCATGGGCTTCTGTTATGGCTGTGTTTAGCTCTATTCCTCGTGCCAATTTAGATTTACCAATAAATTATTAGTAATTTTATTGGATACATATTACATACTTACATAAAAATAATTGTGGTAAAATATTGAAGCTGTATGATGGGATGATACCCACATCCTTGAACTACTCTGGGTCACACAAATCACTTGTATGTTCTGGAATGTGAGTTCAGTCTTATTGTATGGCCTCAATATTTTTTCATACGTATTTTCTTGTGATTTCATTGTGCATCATTTAAAGTCCCTTATTTCACTTTATTTCATTGTTTATTTTCAGATAAAGCTGCTATGCGATCAGATGCTGCTGCAGAATTAGACCGGTTGACACGATCAAAGAAGCCAACAGCAAATAATTCTACCGAGACAAACAACTCGTCTGAATGTTGACTCTGGTCTAGTACCACTATTATTAACTGTGCTAAGAAATGATGTGTTGGTGCCCCAGTTTATGTGAGGTGCACTGTAGTGGCCAAACAGCAGCCCAGGAAGTGGCATCCAAGGCATGAGGCAGTTGGATGCCTGTCTGGTTGTTATGTGCCAGATTTGTCCTGGTCTTGGCCCTTATATTCGGGGTATAAAATGGGTAGCTTTTCATTCCTGTATATGATAAAATGCTATTTTATTCTTACCTTAAAATTTTAAGGGTACTATCCTGAAAGTTTACAACTAATTAGCAGCTAAAACGTTGTATAAAAACATTTCAGAGACTTCTAAAGCAAATTTCTGCTTAGTATAATGTGACCTTTAATAAAGCAGTGTGCCTCGGAGCTTGTCACATCCACAGGAGATTAGCGTCCGTTTATCAGTAGTGGTAAAGTTCTGGTGTGTATGTAAACCTAGCATAGCATTTGTGAGCCAGCTACCACTGGTATTATATCATGCAGGCTGTGCAGGGAGGGTCTAGCAGCCACTGGGAGCGTGCGTGGCAACCCTTGAAATGGGGGGGGGAGGGGAGGGGGTGGGGTGGGGTGAGCGTTGTGTCCTGTATCATATTTTCTTATTTATTTGTTAATTTTATAAACACTTGCTTCCTTGCTGTTATTCTTGGCCTATGATGCTTGTGACACTCTTGTATGTATCTTAAGAAGCTTACCACTCGTGAGGGCTCTATTTTTGAGCTCTGTACATGCAACATCAGTGAGAAAGATTTATGTATATTGCAAACAAGATTTAATTGTAGTTGACATGTTAAAATTTGCTACTCAGGAGTATTTCTGTGATTATTTCTGACAGTGGCAGCGTATATTCTCCCGCTATGGCATGGCATCTTTTGCATTTTTTTTTTTCCTTCATGTTGTACAACAAGAAATGAATATCATAATTTTGTATTACTTTTTTTCACCAATTTTAAGAATGATTTGGATAAAAATACAGGCTTGTCTAAAATTTTCATTCTAAAGCTTAGAGTTACTGTCTTATCTTCAAGACTTCATTCGCAAGGTTCCTCATCATATTAATGAATTATGAATGGAGATTAATTATGAACGTGTAGTGTCAAAATGTTAGTACATATTGCAACATTATACAGGGCTGGAAATTTTGTTATTGATTGGGCTGATTATTAGGAAAAGAACTTTGTTTTTAAATTAGCATCGAGTGATACGGAGCTTATCAAATGCAGCCAAGTTTTGTTCTTTTAACCTTCATTTTTGGCAGGTTATTTACTTGATTTTGATGTTGCCAGGAAAGACTGAATAGCTAAAATGTATACAAGACCTGTATTATTGAGTGGATGCATTGTAGTAGGTCGGTATAATGTGGCTGGGTTTGTATCGTCAGTCACAAGGAGCCTGTTGTGGTATATTTGGAAAGTTTTTTTTTGTATTTTTTTCTACATTATTGGGTGTCGTCCCATTGCATCTTCTCATGTCCAGTATGAACAAGTTATCTGAAGCTGTACAGTATATGGAGGTGCGAGTTACTTCAGGATGCTAGTGCATCACAATTTAACCTAAATGCCAAAGCTTATTGAAGAAATATGTATATGTACATATATATATATATATATATATGTATATGTCCTTGCCTATCACCATCATTATCTTCCCATGTAAGTTTCTTCTATTACCTGTCATTCTGTTAAGTCTAGCGGTAAATGTGTACTTGGGTTATTGAGGTAGGGTTGTGTAAAGAAAAGGGTGTAAGGAATTCTGTAGCAGCTTTAATAAATAGGGAAACTGCTGGTCTCGAACACATTCACCAGTGAAAGTAAATCAGAATAAATGTTAGTCTTATATTAATTTTATTAGAATTATTATAATTGTATTGTTTGATGCTTTTACAACAAGGTAAAGTGATTGGGTAACTAATCGTCTTTCTGGGAAGGTTATGGAGGCAGAGTGCTTGCCAAGTAAGTCAATTTGCTGCATACAACTATTGAGTTAGTGCTGTTCAGAACTGGTTAGCAAGAGGTATATACTCGTGAAGCAATGCATATACAATATCACAAGAACGTGATGCATCTACAAGAAAATGTTGAGGTCGTACAATGGGGTTGAACCTGCATCCTTAGACTCCCTAAGCACCCACACTACTGATTTTAACCATCATGAGCTTAAAAGTAAGTCAAGTAGTACTTATGGTTGAAATAGTTTTAAGCTGGTCATGATCCAGTCAATAGTGAGTGCACCAAGGAAATCTAGGGATGTGGGTTTGATTGCATCAAAATACTTTCTTAATGCATACACAAGAATGAATGCAGGTGTATTAATTGGCAAGGTCCACATGCTTGTTAGGCCTTTGGAAGTCCAGCTTTATTAACCAGGTCAAGGAGAATCACCTTATTAACTAGTGTTGGCAACAGTACTTCATCAAACACCATGATCTTCATAGTTTAGAGATGAATCTTTGGTTGGGAAAACATCTTATTGGCTACTTGTCCCTAACACCCTAACATATAACAAAACTGATGACTATTGCCCTAGTTATGGGTTGTCTGGGATATTATTCATAACCTGTAACCTGGGATTCTAAATTAAAAATTTGTGTGGAACACAGAATTATGATAGAATATGTTTAGCAAAGGATTATTTCTTGCCAGATATGAAGCCAAATTAAACATGTCATTTATCAGGATAGTTTTAATATATGGACATGTTCAACTCATTTCTTAATTCTAATTTAATTCCTGTTATGCATTGTATACTGTGTTGATTCAAATCCAATGATCATTTGAACATAAAATGTGATTTTAATACTGAATCTTGTTTTGTTGCTAAAGTACTGCAGTGTTTATAATATTTATTAAAAGATCACTAAAAAAAAATTCCTTTGTATTATAGGTCTATTTTTCATTTGCCATAGTAGTAAAATGTAAAAATATGGAAATATAAAATTTGTGATAACTTCAGGTTTTGTTTTCTTGGCAATTGCAAGTGGTTTTAGCCAAAGAAATTGGTAATAGGTAATAACCAGGTCTGGGTTTCATCAAGCATTTGTGTGTGTGAAACTTTTACATCTTGGCTTAGATTTCATTTATTTAAACAATTTATAAGCTTTGAAGTACTGAAGGTTGTGCTCTAGATGATTTGACTACAGACTGAATGTCTGAACTCTGTTTAGGTACCCTGAGAAAGGGAACAGTAAACATACAATATGGATACAATATATATGTGTTATAATGGTTACAGTGGGTGTGGTTGTATGGTACGACAGCATCATGACAGGGCAAGGCTGTAAAGTGCAGAAAGCAGCAGAATCTGGTCACAGTTGGTGACTGTGGAGTCCATTTTGGCGAGACGATGGGAACCAAAGCTGGTAAGAGGTGATGTTTCTGCTGGCTGCTTTGTTGGTAAGGATCATCTCGATACTGTTGTCAGGCAGCCTAATATCACTGTTTACTTGACTGGTGTGGATCACCGCTGCTTGTTTATTGGTTGATGGGGAAACTGCTTGATCCTGGAAGTGTGCAGACATGTAACACCTGTTATTCCTGCATATGTGGAAGTAGCTGCTACAGCATTCTGATATAGTTACTACAAGGTTGTCCATAATTACCTAGGATTGCAAAGTTTTGAAACACTTAAACTTTAATTAATGTAGACAGCCGCCATGATCAAGAAAAGACTTACAGGTTTTATTAAGTAAATGTGTTAATGCCTGATAAATTCTGGCCTCTGAATCTTGGGTAGCCTTGTGTAGTAGCATCCTAAATGATGTTTAGGAACTTGAACATTAAAAATTCTGTATAAAGTGCAATGTAGCATTTCAAGTTTAGCTTTAGTTTTTTAAACTATAGTCTTTCTTCCCTAATGTTCCTTTGAGTAGTATGTCCCTCGATAAAATTCTATGAATTCAGTTCCTGTGTGTTCTTTCGTCATTATTTTGTTCTTTCATGTTGGCTTCCCGAGTGATAAGACCTTTTCAATGTTCTGCAACACAGATGGTGCTAAATAGTCATCCCGGCATGGTGCCTTCTTTTGATAACTTGTACAGTACTCAGACTCCCTCTTGTAAATAGTTTTGCAATGCTCTTGTCACCAATGCTATAAAAAATACCAATGCCACAAGGTCTGATTACCAACACAAGCTATGGCCCATTCATTCATAATGCCTTAACACTCCCGTTCAGGTAATTGACAACTATCCGAGTGTGTTGTGATGGCATTTCTCTATTCCACTAAACCCTTAATAAAACAGTTGAGAAAATAGCCTTCTACAGTATACTCAAACTGCAGATCTTTTACAACATGCTAATATGTAACCTGAGGTGCCAGTAACAAATGTAGAAACAATTTCTCCCTGACCTCGCTCCTCACCATTTAAGAGAAGAAATAACCTCATTCTGTTTCATGGACACAAGATGTAGGATCGATGTATTGTTTCAAACATAGGTTAAACAAGAATGAGTTTTGGTGGATATAAATAGGAGCTGCCACATGAATATATACCTTCTCAATTTTCCAGGTTTTTTATATTCAACTTCTGTATTAATGGAAACATTTATTAGCTATCCTTTAAGTTTCTACCAGTTAAAATGCTATAATTAAGGATGGACCCCCTTTGTTATCCCAGAACATAAATCCTGGATACAGCCTTATCTATATTTAGTTTCCCTAACCCATTTGCATCACTGCCAAGAAACTTGCAGTGTCCTTTCTTCCATTCTTATGTTCATGCTCTCTCTAACAGCATGCTTGAAGAAATTCCTATTGCTGCCCATTCTCAGCTTCAAGAACATCCTCAAACATTTTCTAGCTTCCACAGCCTTCTGGAACACAAATACAACACATTTGCTACACTTGAACAACTGTTTACCTGTTTTTGTTATAGATGACTATACTGTAAATGTTTTTTTAATCATTGAATATTGTCATATGTAAATATATAATATATCTTCCTATGTCAGAGGTCCACTGCTCTTCAATCTTCTCCCAATAAATATATGAAATATGCCAGAACTAAAATAGATCTGTTGAAAAAAAAAGTTGGATAAATTCCTGCAGGAAATGCTAGACCAGCTGGGTTATAATGGATATGTGGACGTGTTGGCTACCCCCAAGGAAAAGCCTTCTAGACAAAGCAATCTCAAGGGAGTAGAACTCCCTGAACCCACTCCGGGTATGCCTTCATGGCTTGACGTGGCAGAGGACTTGAGCACTTCGGTGATCCATAGGGTAGTTTAAGAGGTTCTAATGAAGTTCATCTGGCCCAAGATGAGGAGAGAAAGGAGAACCATACTTTCTGGCTTCTCGCCACCTTTAGTTGTGTTTGCCATGCATGGAGTCCCTTGTATTTCCCATTTCCATTCATGTAGGAGATTTAATCACAGTGAACATGTATATACATGCTGGATCATGTATTAATTGTTTGGCGTGGACAGGAAGCTTGCATTAGAACCTTACAAAAGTTCCCTAACTTGCTGGTACATATTTACTGTTAGGTGATTGAAACCACGCAGCCTGAGATCGAACTCGGGATCCCCGATTGTGAGTCAAGTAGGAAGCCAACATACTACGATGGTATATAAACTAATAGCTAGCATGATCTATTCTTCGTAATTCTTCATATGGAATATGTAGCTGCACGTACACTGCTCTGTATCCAAGTTTTTAATAAGTATTTACCAAAAGACAATAATTAGCCGGAAAGACTTTAGCACTGTTTTTATGCGAGATGGTGACCAAACATACATAGGCGATATAACTTTTATTAATTTAAATAAAATATTTACAACTGCAAATTGCATGGAAATTTGCAACTGAGGTTGACAGCAATTTGCAACTGAAGCTGCTGGAATTTATTGCAGTTGTTAGAATTTGCAACTGCGAGTTGCAGGCCTGTCGTGTGCATGTGCATGTGCAGTGCTACATGTTAAGTGACCTTAATACCTATACTTGTATAACTATTCTACGCAAGTTGGGGCACACGCACCCGAACATAATAGTACGTAAATAAAGTATACAAGTTTAGAGAATTCATCCCAAAATTATAAATGGTGCTACAACATACAATCTAAAGAAAACAGTTCGAAACTAAGGGAATAAAGCTGCCGAAAAAAACATTAGACAGTCCACTCATGTAACAGCCATGTAAGGCCCTCTCTTTCTCTTCCTCTCCTCCAGTTTTCCCCTCTCTCTCCCTCGCCGTTCCTTTCCCTTCTCTCCCCCATCCCTCTTCCCTTCTCTCCCCCATTCCCCTTCCCTTCTTACTGGTCTGGTACGTCTCTGCTCTCAGCTAGGGGTCGGTTTGGGAGACATACATATTGCTTCCCCCTCTAGACGGTCGCAAGGGAAGGTTTACTGCCGTGTAGAATTACAGAAGAGGCCTGTCACTTTTCCCCCTCTCCCCGCTAAGGATGAGCTACGACTCTTGGGACCCACCTCTCAACCTTTATTGTAATCAACTGGTGCATAGGGCTGTCAAATCTACATTTAAAGCTGTAAATCTCCACTTCACTTCTTAATGCATTCCACTTTTTTACTATCCTGACAATTGTTTTTCTTGTGCCTCATTTGGATATACTAAATGGTTTCCATCTGTATCTCTTTGTTCGTGTACTACCCATGCTAAATAGTCTGTGCTCTGTCTGGCCTCATATTATTTCTCTGAGTACTGTATTTCGAATGCGGTAATCATGTTTCCCCTTTGCCTTCTATCTTCCAGTGACCTGAATTACTAGATGATCCATAGACTATTCATAATGAGTTCAATGTTCAACTCTCACTTTAAGAACATAAGCTCTGGCTAACTCCATAGTTCTACCATACACTCACAGGGCAAAATCCGTTCACTCATTGTCAAAGTAAGCTAAAAATAACAAGACAAAAAGTTATCCTTCGAACCGGATTCGAACCAGTGACCTATGGATGTCTGTCTTAAGTACCAACTACAGTCCACCGCTCTACCAACTGAGCTATCGAAGGTCTTGAAGGAAGTGAAAGTTGCTACACTTAAGAACCTCGCAGGCGGGGCTGCTCTCCGTGGTGGCCTTTATTACAATTGTTCGCTTACTCTGAACTCGTCTGCATTTAGGAGCACAAATTCTTGAGAACTATTCGAGATGTTTTGCTTCGTAATCAGTAATGTATCCGGGAACGGAAAATGATAAATATATAACGTAAATTACCAAAGGTCACCATATTATATGGTAAAATATTTGACTAAATAAGATAATGGAACTCTCCTTATCCCTTATCTGTAACACCTTCGATAGCTCAGTTGGTAGAGCGGTGGACTGTAGTTGGTACTTGAGACAGACATCCATAGGTCACTGGTTCGAATCCGGTTCGAAGGATAAGTATTTTGACTCGTACGTGACACGGTCATCAGACTTCCGGGCCAGCGGTTGTCAGCAGGAGAAACATATTGTGTGCGGTGACTGGCCAGACTCCCTGGCGACTGTACAATTATTGTTGCTTTGAAGCAAAGGACAACGCGTTAAGTCACACTGACGCCTGATCACAGAACATTCCCTCACCCAAACTATTTACACTGAAGTTTCCCTTCACCACTCCACCGGTGCCTCGCGGATCCTCTGGCAGGTTTGGTTAAGGCATTTTAGTACGACAGTTTCTTGACTTTGGGAACGTTGGCGAGAACAGGCTGGGTGGAGCATGTAGATTCGGTGTCCATTAAAACGCAGGCAGCCTGTGGACTGGCTGGGTCACCAGCGTGCTGTAGGAAGTGATGTAAGCTAAGAGAGTGTTGGGTAGTGCAGCGGCGTCGAGGACGGGGCGAGGCACGACGGCAGCTATAGTCGTACTGGCCAGGGCACGAGAGAGCTATTGTTGGCTCTGCATTGCTCTGGCGGAGACGAAGAGTCGGTACGACAGCTAGGCTGCTCTCACCTAATTGTGCTTACGGGGGTTGAGCTTCGACTCTTTGGTCCCGCCGTTAAACTGTCAATCA